ATTTATACTTTGCAGGTATAATAATTATATAACATTTTTTTTTAAATTTTAAAAATATATTATACATGTACAATCAAATAATTGGTTAAAATCAATAGATAATAATATTAAAATCTATAAAGTTATACTACGTAACTACCAGTGACCACATCATTGCAATATTACGTTGCACACGCATTATCGATGGATAGTATTCATATAATCATATTAATTATTCATACATTCACACATTGCAATATTGTAGTTAATAAATGCAAAATTCCAAAACATGAATTTATTCTGATACAATATTATTATAATAATATTATAATGTTTGATATGGTCTCGTGCCTCATATTCGTATACATATTATAATTCTTCGTGAATTTGAACAAATTAAAAATTCTGTGGTCTGTCCATAATATTCAATAATAATTCTAAGTATAGGAAGTTTTTATGCGTTATTTAATATATTATTTATTACTTTTAAGTGTCCATTTCAGAGTCTGACAAGTATCTAGTATCTACCTATTTTTACGCTCTATAATGTGATTGATAAAAGTAATAAATATTGACTAACGTATTTTTGTAATAATGAACACTCCAATACAAATAAATTTTAGCGATAGTACTGGTTAATACATTTTATATAACTAAAATAAAAGTATAAGTTGTCTAATTTTATAATTCACTGCAAATCTTTCAGCAAATTTATCGAAGTTTAATAATTTTGAAATACTTTTTTTTATTGAAAATATATGCACAATACAGGATTGGGTTTCCACATTGTTTGAGTACCAAATTATTAAATTTTTTTTTCCAAATTGTATCATAAAAAAATCCTATATCCGCCACTGGAAGTTATAAGATATATCGTATCATTTGTATCATTATATACGAAAAACTATTCTGAGCAGAAAGGTCTATCAGCCTATCATCAAGTGATATAATTATTTGATTTTGATATAACATTAATTTTAATTTTAATATAAACGATATAATTTTTTTCCGAAAATATTACATATGCTATTACTTATTACTTATTACTTATTAATAATTAATTATTAACTTATAAACTCAAAATTTAATAACATATTTTTGTAAATACCGTAAAAATATAGATTCATAATATTTAGAGATAGATACTTTTAAAATAAATTAAAAATATTATTGCGTGTAGTAAAATTTATAATAATATAAAATATAAAAGTTTAAGTTCCATCAAATAATTTAATATTTACTCTAGATATCTATAGAAGCTTAAATTTTTCATCGAGTATTTATATTAGCATTTTCCTAGACAAGATATAAATTTCTAGTTGAAAACTTATTTTGAGTAAATATTATCGTATTTTTATATTTTTTTTTTTGTTAATACTTATAGGCTATACCTATTCTTTTGAAAATACTAGGAATATTTTTCTTTTAAACATTTTTAAAGTAAAACTAGATTTAATTTTCTACTAGAAACCTCACTAAATATTAAAGATTTTTAGGTTATGACACCAAAACAAAATAAGATTTAAAAAAAAAAATCTCTAAATGAGTATATAAATATGTTGAGTACTCATAATGAACATCAAAAGTAAAATAAATAAGTTAGTAGATATACATTTCAATTGAAATACTATCGTCTATCGGGGCTGTCAAAAAGGATAAATATTAAATCCATAGTATGCTAGCGAATAGTAGTTTACGTAAGTTCATAACAAATATTAATGTACCTTCCTCGTAGGCGTGCGCACGGGTAGGGCTGATTGAGCTTAAACCCCACCTGAGCCTTTTTTGTAAGTGTGTGGGCATTTGGTACCTAAAAAATTATTAATGAGGCGTTATAGCCGTGGAAAATTGATGACAAAATAAATGAAAATCGTAGATATTTGCACGATTAGAAACATGCTGATTGCTGGTTGTTCATAGGCATAATTTTTTTCTTGTATGACCGTGGCGGCGGGGAGGGTGGGTGGACAGATTGAATTTTGTCATACCTGACTCAGAAGTCTGCGCACGCCTATGACCTACCTATTGTACCTATATAAGACATACATAGTAAGTTGACACTTTAAATTATAGACGTGATAACGATCGCTTTTCCACCACACATGTTTGGTTTTCACTATTATTATTATTATTATTATTATTATAATCATCAATTCTCATCATTGAATTAATAACCGACCGACGTGTAAATATAAGCACAACTACATGGGGTAAATAATAATACCTCTGCATATAGCGCGTTACACAACTAATGAATGAGTGATAGAACTGTCAAAATTATATTTAAGTACTTGCATACATAGTATGTATCGAATTATAATTTATTTGATATGATGGTAGTTGGTATAATACTACATCAGGTTATAATATTACTGTTTAATATTATATCCGCAATGTATATATGATATTTAATAATAATTTATTATATTATATGAATGGTTAAAGATTTTTGGTATGCTGTTAATGCCAGTCAGGATATAGTCCATTTTCGTGTCAGTACGCTATTCGTTGCCAGCTGGCATGGAAGCATCAGTGTGCGAAGTTCTAAATATGAAGAGTGAAGAAGGTACCTATGTACCATGTACGTATTCCACTCAAGCGTTAAGAGAATATCAGATTGTCAGTGGAACTTCAACCGCGTTTTATTATTATTGCCAAACCCTCAAAATTGAGCAAAGTATTGATTTTAAGTTATGTTTATTGGTAAACTGTTAAGTATAATCTATCTCAAAATTACTAAATAAATGTCAATTATTACTGTAGGCCTTATTTTTATTTTTTTAAATATTTTAATCATTTAAAAGATTAGTTGCAACTACGAATCATGATTGAAGTCGATGGATAAATTAATACAAATAGCGTGATGTAATAAAGTATTATTATTTTACTTATTAGTTATTAGGTATATGTTATTGAAAATAAAACTAAAATCCTTGGTGTGGCATTAAATTAAAATATGCAGTTCTTTAATAATATTTTTAAAAACCAAGTTGTTGTATTTATCTAGTATTTCAATTTAAGCAGTTTTGTAAGTTTGCCTACAAATGAGAAATCTGAAGTTTTACATAATATAATGAACGTACTTGTCGTAGGGAGATTACAAATATATTACATTTATGTTTATAATATTTACGTCATTTTATTTTAATCGTGTAATTAAATCAGCTTAATATAATGCTGTATAAGTGAATAGTAAATAGTCACGTAATAACACGTACTATTATTATTACTATATATTGCTATATTATTATAAAGTGTAGCTAATGGGTTTAGTAGGTATCAACAGGCTACATTTAACAGCTACGAGTACTGTCTACTGTAGTCTGTAGACTGCATGTAAGACTGTCATACGTATACCGTATACACCTTTCCTATAGTAAAAGTCCGTAATATACACAAATCTTTAAATAATAAATTCAAGGTTGTTAAAATACAATGAAAAACTTGTTGTACAAAAAATTTTAATTCGTTTTAAACATACGAAACAGGATGTTAATAATACATATTTGAACTGCATTTAAAGCTATCTAGCTATCTATAGATTATATTACAGTAGGTAGGTAGATATAAAATGGGTAAACCATACATTATAAACAGTATAAACATACATTCTATTATAAATAATAAATATGTATATTTTCAGGGGCCATCGGCCCAGTGGGTTACTAAAACAGTCATTCACTATACCTATAATATATACTAAAACTACATTACTATAAATAACTGTGAGCTGTGACTTGTGCATTCATCGGTTGACAAATAAGTTAAGATCTTAAAACAGATAACATAATATAATGTAAAATAAAGTATAACAATACATAAAAAACGCTTGTTATTTAAAATTATATTGTGTATAATGTACCTATAGTTCTAAACTTTAAAAAATACAAGAATCCTAAAAACGGTACTAGTTTTAAAAAGAGATAGGTATGGTTAGAGGACTTGATTCATAAAAAAAGTTCATACATCGATAGGACGTAGGTAGTTCATCCCAAATAAAATATAAAAAATTGATAAATATTAATATAATCAAGTAGACACTTTTTATGTTTAACATAATTTAATGGGTTGTAAAATAAAAAAACGGTGTAAAAGTATTATATATATTATTCTATATTCCAATATTATCTGTGATAATTTTTTTAAAACGACAATGAATTTTTTTCAGTCAGTCATCAGTTACAAATATCAAATAGGTAACCATAATTAGCATCAAGTATCTTAGTATTTTTCTATAATTATTCCCCTAATAGGCCCAATACAACATGCGTTCTTATACCTTTGCTTATTTCTAGAAATCGTCATTAAAATATACTCAAAATTCAATAATTATTATAATAGTACTAATTTATCAGATGGAACTAAAATCAACTTCTTCAATAATGACAAAAAATATAAAAACATTTTTAAACACCGACAAAATTATCCGTCAATTATCGTCAAATTATCGTAAACTTGAGCAACATACTTGGATATAACCACTATAGGGCATAGGCAAATAAATACCTAAATAAAAATACAACACAAATACACAATATAATATCAGAGCTAATAATAATCATTACACTGCGTGTCCCGCGTATCGCCGTGTGTTGAAAATATTATAAATTTTATAATCGTTAATTTCACAATAATTGTGAAAATAATATATACCTATTATGTATATTACATTATAATATTATCGTGTACGGCCAAACGGGGCGGTAACTCCTCACATCGTTATGATTTACGATTCACGTAATAATTAATTAATTATTCGAATAACGGCGAGCGGCGATTACCAATAATTATTGAAGCCAGTTAAAAAATTAAAAATAATATAACCGTAAAACGATTTGGTAATAATAATAATAATAATATCTCAGTCGTCCGCGTAGCGGCCTCGGAAAGCCGTTACAACTGGCGCTCCGGCAGAGAGTCGCGCGGCGGCGAGTGTGGAGAGGCGCGCGTGCTAAACATACGTCCGATGATGTGCGCATGTGTGCTATGCAGTGCGAGTGTCGTCATTCGGTCGACCGCCGCCGTTCTCGGCTATCATTCGTTCGTCGATGGCAATTTGGCGTTTGTGATGATTAGATCAGCAGCTGTAGCACACGCGTCACGGTCTCGTTTACGCCGACGGCGATGACTATGATAATAGATTATGATAATAATAATAATAATAATAATATCGCAAGTATTTTGATTTCGTCGCGACGACGACGAATAGTGCGTGTATGCGCTCCGAGTCTGGCAGGCGGCCCATCCGTCCATCGTTAGAGGCCAACAGCTGTTCACCGTGGTCTCCGGTGTAAGTTCGACGCGCGTCATTCGCATTCGTCCGACACTGCTGCCGCCGCCGCCACCACCGCCGTGACGGAGGATAAAAGCTCGACCGAAAACGACGACATGAGTGTTGAAAACCTGAACAACCGTCGGCCCTCGTCCGACCACCACACAGGTAAACCTCCGTCCCTCCGACACTAATCGTCCCAGTCGCCGGACTCGTACCCAAGTCTGTGAATATAAAGCTAATGGACGTACGTCGTCCCATTTGCCCAGCTAGGTATGAGATCCGCCGCGGCTCGTCGACGATGTCACGTCCGTCTCCTATAGGTATAATAAATGCCATGGCGTTTTTTTTTGCTTTCGATACGTTTTACAATAAAATTATTAATAAATCATATTCAACTGCAAGCTTTTTCAAACCCGGTGCTTATTAGTTAGTAATTACCTGCGTATTTCATTTAAAAAAAAGTTGAAAAATATTGTGATTTTAATTTTTTTTTTTCAAATCAATAATTCCAAATGTTTATTTAATTAATCTATTTTTATAAATACTTTTATAAAACTGTTTTTCTTATTTCTTTATCGAGTCTAATACATTGTTAATTCTGATTAAAATGTAATACTTAAACATTAAGCTTTAAACTAAGTGTGTGACTTATTTTCTTGTTTCCAATGACCATGATTTGTTTAGACTAATTTTTGAAAATATTGTATTATACAAAATTAATTGTTAAAAATAACAAAATTATTAATATTATCATAATTATCATTTATTTAATATGGATTTATTGGTTCTTAATTCTTAATAGTTAGATAGTTATATATTTTATTTTTATAGCTACATATTAAAATGGCTACTTTTTTCAATACATATTTATTAGTGTTTAATAGTTCCTAAACTTTTTAACTATTATCTATCATGACAATTTCATGATTTAAAATTATTCAGTTAATACTTTTGAAACTAATTTAAATAGGTGTTGAAAAAATTACCTATTTTAATATGATTAAACAATAATTAAAAAGTAATAACTAACCTAACCTGATAATTTAAAATTAATAAATTGTTATCTTAGTATATTAGTATAAATGTTGGTTATAATAAAATTGAACACAATTTATACAGTTTATAAAATAAATAAATTTTTTTTAGATATTGATACTTGAAGATTCCTTGTGTTACCTTATTGTACTATTATTAACTACATTTTTAAATAGTAAAAATATAAGTATAATGAGAGGATACAGGGGCATCCTGGCCTACTGGGATACCGGGAGGTTTCCGGTGGCCTGGCCTATTAAGATTTGTCATTTGCCTGATAGCATTAGTTTTTAAAATAATTAGGTTGTTTTCATTTTTTTTTACACTAAAAAAAATATATTGATATATATATATAAACTATACCGATATGGAAAAATTCCAATTCGAACTCTCATTGGCTATAATATAATTAGTTATTAGTTTAATATTAATAAGTAGGGCCCGAATTAATATTATGCATTTGCATGTTTTTTCTGAATAGTCCAAAAAATAGCTAGGTAAGCTATAAATTTGATTTGTAATCAATAGATCCTAAATATAAAGTTTTATTTTGCATATTTTTGCATTTTTTGACATGTACTGCATATTCCTGTATTTCACAATTTTTTTAATGCGTATATATGGTTTTTAAATGCATAATATGTAATATTTTGCTTATTTTAATTAAAATAATGTATTTATACTTTATAGTTATATTTACTTATATTTACAGTCCATGTAATTTGACAAAGTCGTTTTCTTATCTTATTTGAAACTTGACGAGACAAATAGTAATCTTTTATTGAGTAGATTTTAGTGAAACATGCATTTGTCGTGTTTGTTGTGATCCATGTGTGCATAACTTTCATTTGATTTTATTTATTTATACTTAATGAAAATAAAAGACTTTTTTGTCATAACCTTTGCATATTTAAAGTGCATATTTGAATGATAATCAGTACATAAATGCATGCATATTTAGAGTATGTTTTTAGTGCATATAATTCCAAGCCTTAAGTAATAACTAGAATGAAATTGCTCATTTAACATGGGTATTTTGCGATGCATAAACGCATTATTAGTATTGTGTATGCAGGGTTTCATCGATTCTACCCAATATTTGTCTATATTGATTTCGCCAAATATTTTTTAATGTTAGTTATATAAAGTATAATTTTTAATTAACACTATAGGCACACTCAGTTTATCAAAAAATTTTTTTTTTAAATAAAAATATTTAAAAAAAAAAAAAAATTTATTGTTGTCCATAACGAAAAATATAACACAAGTATACTTATTATACTATGGCAAAAAAAATGCCAATTAAATACTTTGTAAGTTGATTTAGTTTTTAAAATAGTTGTTTGATACCAGTTTTACATAAGTTAATCTATCAATTTTTTTATTTAAATAGTTGTTAAAAATGTATGTTACATATTTTTTTTTAATTTCATAATTTTTATGTTTGCTAATTTATTATTATATGTAATAAATGATTAATTGAACTGCTCTGAAATTAAATTTAGATGAACAGTCTTGTTAAAATATTGATACCGATTGAAAGTCTATTTTATTGTATTGTCTTCTTACATAATATAATATAAACTAAGAAGTTATATAAATAAATAATTATAAAATAAATTGTTAATGTTTAAGAGATGTGGGAGGAAAGAGCATAAGTTTAGTAATCCTAGTAAAGCCAATGGTATGAATAAAAAAAATATGACCTGGGTTATATATTTTCCTGGTCTGAATTTTTATCCCAGGCTGTTCCTAAGAAAATATCAAATAAAATATCAAGTATAAACACAATACTTTTTTTATTAACTATAGATTTATTATAACTATTGTATTTTAGTTTGATAGTTAAATTTTCAATAACTCAAAATAATCTAATATTACAAATTAGTAATTGCCTAATAGAATATAATTAATAATGTAATTATTGGTTATAGAATTAATAGTGAAATTAAAAAAATTAAAACTTAAATTAAATCATGTGCATTGTTAAATTGACCTTTTAATAGAATCTCTGTGTGTCGGATAATTGAATCACTTAATGATTTGAAATAGTAAGTTTTGAGCTGATTTTAATAACAAGTTATATAATTTTAGCATATTATAGAAAATAAATTGTGTGATGGTCAAGTTCAATTAACTACTAATAGTTTATTGCAGGAAAGGTTCTTCTCAAACTCTTCAAATTGTTTGATATTAAAAAAAAAAAATTAAGTTTGATTTCAAACATCTTAATCAACTAATTAATATTTTCAGCAACATGTTTCCAAAGTATTTGAGTACAATTTTTAAATATCATTAGTAGACTACAACTTACAATTATTATTTATTTATTTACAATAACCAAAGCCAAGTTTTAGCACATTGATATTGATGAATTTAAAACTTAAATTTTAATTGGAAATAAAAATATATTTTATTTAAATGATATTTTTAAAAATTAAAATAAAAATAATATTTAAGTTTTAGTTGAAGGATTTTAATATATGCAGTTAAAATATATTTTATTTTTATAAAATTTAAAAGTATAATAAAAGATTAATACAAACTATAATTTTATTTCAATCAATGTCAATTCTAAATATTTCTTATTAAGTTATCGTAGTGATGGATTAATTTTTGAAGTAACTATCAGATAAATCTGGATATTAACACTGCTATACTTACAGTTTAAAATAAACTGCCTGAACTTAAGCTTTTAGTTAATTTAAGGCATATTAATTATATTTTTGTTTCTCTAAATTATTTTGTATTATAATTAAATATAATTAATGTTTGATCAATAATAAATTGATCTTTTATAAACTTGCATAGAATATTGTAATTAATTGAATTTTTAGAGGTAACCTAAATTTTTTTACTAAGGATTTTTTTTTTTTTAGTTTCAGATTCTTCAAGCAAAAATAAAAGATCAATACTTTATGATAAAACATTTGTTATTGACATTGTTGACAATATAGTAAGCTCAAAAGTGGAAAAGCTCATAAATGCATATGGAGGAGTAAGTTTACAGACATGTATTTTATTTTATAAATGGTTTAAACTCATTGTGGGTTTTACAAAGTATGCTTGTCAGAGGCCATTAGTGATATCACTTTAAAACTTATTTAAGTAACTATTATTTTAATTAAAAATTGCTATTATGTGATATAACATAAAATAATAATATTTTCTATAGAATTTAAAATGAAATGTATAAAATATATTTTTAAAGCAATGTTATATTTTTATATAACTGTGGAGCTATGTATAATATGAAGTACTTATTAAATAGTTATATCTTACATTTACTGTTTTAATAAACAGTAACCTATTTTTTAATTATCTTTTAAGTGTAATTATTTCTTATATGTAAAAAGTTTAAGTGGTTAGAGTATAATGATAATTTATTATTGGCCATGAGTGAAAATATTGTTGAGTAAGATTTAAATAGATACATACTGGGCGATTTTCTTATCAAATAACTCTTAATATTTCAAAACTATTAATGTTTTTGAAAATATTTTTCTGTTATAAATCCCAATCTATATAAAAAATATATTATTTTAGATAAATTAGATTTAATTATATTAAAATTATAACTCTAGAACTGCTTATCTAAATTTTAATTTGTATGTATCAAAATATTTTGAATGTTAAATTATATATATATATTTTCATTTAAAAAATTAACAACTTAAAAAATATTTAACAGTATATTTTTTATTTTAACTGGAAACTATGTAAGAAAAATATTTAAAAAATAATTTAATAGATTTTGAAGAAATGTGTGTTTGATAAAAGTATCATCCTATATAATACCCAGTATACCACTATCAAAATGTGTACATATTAAAAATTGTTTGAATAAATACCAGATATATTGTTTTTTATGTGAAAACATATATTTATATTTATATTTTTTTTTTAATAGAAAATAATTCAATCATTAGAGAAGAGTACCGATTATTTAATATCAGATATGATACAAAATGAAGGAGTTAAGTATAATGGCAGTTCAGAAACTAATAATGTAAGAATATTTTTGAATTAAATTTTACCTTTTTATTAAGTATATTGGAACATAACTTTTTATTTTATCGGTTTTTTAGAGTAGAAGAGATATTGAAGTAAAAAATGGGCCATCTTCTAAACGTAAAAATTCAGTTGATCTCATCAATAAAGCTAATATTTTAAACACAAAAATTTTATCTGCTAAAAAGGTTAGAAAAAATAACATTATTTACAAATATTAATTTATTATCACATTTTGGTATTTGTTTAGTATGTGACCTACCAAAATGATTATCTATATTTTAGGTACAGACAACCTATACTTGCTTATTTTTATAATTTTATTATATTAATATTACATTTACTGGTTTTTAATAATAGATATTTTGTCATTTTAACATGCATTGTTCATTATTAACAATATTGTCAGTGTATGTTCTATCGCCAATTCTAAATCGTGTGTATTTAAAATTTAAAAATTTTAACAGTCAAATTGTACACGATTACTTATTCTGAAAAAATCGTGTTAGAATATTTAAATCACCACAAAATAATAAAACTAATTTATGCCATAAATGTCACAGTGAAACAAAGATGAGACGTATACAAGAAAAAAAAGATAGGCTATGGGTAAAATTTAAGAAATCAGCACCATACGATGTATCATAAAATGATGTCAAACATAAAATTCAATATGATCAACAAATTAATTTTTTACATACACTGATCTTAATTCACGATGCAATTTTAATTTCAATTTGGGTCAAATACTAGAATTCATTTATTATTGGTCACAAGATTTACCTATTAAAATTGTTTACACTTAATGGATTGTTCAAATGCAACCATTGTTGACTGGTTTAATTTATATAAAGACGTGTGTTGTTCATAATTTAAAAACCATTAAGAGATGAAAGGACAAAATATAATAGTGCAAATTTATGAATCATTATTAAGAGGGAGAAGAAAATATAACTGAGGAAGATTGTTGCTAGGTGATCGGCGTTATGAATGATTACAAGATAACTCGGTAGACTCCAATTCTGATAGTTATCAAAAAATCAAATAAATTTTGTTGACTGATTTTGAATGTAATCTGTAATAATAAAATAACTTAATTTTATGATTTTTAAATTAATTATTGGTCTGGTAGGTCACACATACTAAACAAATTCCTCATACGATAAATCACATACTAAACGAATACCCATAATTTTTATTAAAAATAGTTTCAACATTGGCTTAAATCCTTGTTGAAAAAACGCCGTACCAACAAAAAACCTACAGATCAAGTTGCAAGTGTACTAAAAGGAAAAGTTAGTTTAAAAATAGAATCAATGGATCAAGGACAACGTCCTGTATTTGAATTTATACCCAAGTGGCCAGATTTAGGTGACGCATTATGTAAAAAAAAAACAAAACATTCAACTGAACAGAAATATAACTGTGATAAAAGTGGTGATGATTACTCTTCAGATCAATACAGGTAAAAAAAAAAAATAAATGTTTTTCTTCTTTAGTTATCTGTTGATGATTAATTAATATGCAACTAATAATAATTATGTTTCTAGTACTTCAGAAATTGGTGGAATGTGTGAACTATGCGACATGCCATTTATGAATTATAAAGAACACATAAATACAAAAAAACATATGAGAGAAAGTCAAGATGAACACAGATTTCATGAATTAGACGAATTAATTAATGAAAGGCCTTTAAATGTTATTTTTAACCAATTTATACCTGATAAGTCTGAAAAGTAAATTGTGTAATGTATTAAAATCTAACATAAATTAATACTATTTTTATTTTCCTAGGAAAATTAACAGAGATCAAAATTTAGCTCAGAAAACACCTAATCTTAATAACTGCCTAGATAACACTGTTATTACAATAATTGATTCAGATTCAAATGATGCTGAACAAAAAGAAGTGGTAAATTGTGCAAACTTTATTTTAAAATTGTTGATTAATCTTCTTTTTAAAAACAAAAACAAAAAAATATGTTCTCTTTATTTAAATAAATATTTAATATTTGTCTGGTAATAAATTATCACTAATTTTGTTAAGTTAATTAAATATGTTTAATTTTATTGATTTTTATAATATTATGTTTCTTATTTATAATTTGTTATGTTATGTAGGTTTTAATTCATTTTTTAAGTCCAAAATAAAAGTCATATGATGAAGTAAATAATATAAAAGTATAGTAATTAGCTAAAAAAAAAAATATTCTTATGAAATTAAATAAAAAAGGACTCAGTGACATTTATTTAAATATTTGATATTGTAATTTTTTATACTCTTAAAATATTACTAACTAAAGAAATGTTATTTCCACAGGATTAATAATAAAAATAACTTCTCATATATTTTTGGGAATTGTAAACATGTCTATTAGAAATTTTAAGAAAAAAATCATATAATTATGGATAATGTATAACTATGATCATTAACTAAAAAAAAAAAAAAAAAAAAAAAAAAAACATTTTAATAAGATTTAAGTTTAAACAAAGAGAATTAAGTTGCAGTTTAAAATTTATTTTCCCTCAAAAATTGTATATATTTTTGAATCCACTATCTGCTATGTATTTTTCTTATTGAATTATAAAATAATAGTTATAATGTTAACATATGTTTGTATTTTTTTTCAGTATTGTTCATTTGATGATAAAACCCCAAGTTCTTTTAAAGCATCAAAAAGTTTGAAGAGAAAATACCAATTTTCTGATACCGATATTTCTTTTGTACCTCAGAAGAGACCTAGCAAGAAGTTACATTCACCAATACATGATGAAATTAACTTTTATAAAAAAACCAAGCGGAAACACAAAACACATCAAAAATCATCATCCAAGGATATATACAAAGTGGAAGTTGTAAACAGCCATTCATCAAAATCAAAGAATAATTCAAATAATGATAGAATTGAGTCTGATCAACCACCAGTTATCATACGTTTGAAAAGAGTACAAAATTCTAAAAACAAATATTCTTCAAGTGATGTTGAAAGTCGTTTATCAATATCATCATCAGATAATGATGATGAAACCTCAGAGGACCCTAAACCAGTTCATAGGTATATACGTGTAGTTAGAAAATCAAGTTTCAGTGACAGAACTGAAGTTACACCTTCAAAAGGCTACACTCAAAGTCAAATGTTTACATTTGAACATCCAGAGTTGCGTCATAATATTCATAAAGATGTTTCTTACTATCCTACTTACACTTGCATCCCTGACACTAAGTCTAGTATTGAATACATTCAAGAAAAAATTGCAAATTTAGGTAATCCTAGTTTAAAGTGTATGTTATCGTTTAAAGAATCTTTGAAAGTTATGTCTAAAATGGAACCTCAAAAAATTGGAGAATGGTTCTATAATGTTCCCAAAAAAATTCAAGACAACTTATCGTTCGATTCATCTACGTTAGTCCCACTTACTGATTTATCAAAAATAAAATCTTTTGTAATCCCTAAACAGAATGTAAACAGAAGTTCAACATCCTCCAGTTCTATTGAAATATTGTAATTTTAGTTAATTAATGTTCCAAATGGTTTTGTGTCCTATCTGAGATCTCTTAATGTTATTTTTATTTTATTTTATTTTTATTTTTTTTAGGGATTAATTTTAATTGTTACATTAAATTATTTTTTTAATTTTATGTTAAAGACCTGCCTCCCTAATTTCAGGTAAAACAAATATTTATATGTACTCAAAGTTATGTACAATGATGTTTCATTGTTATTCAGTTCATTTATACCAAATACCATCTAAAAGTATTAAATCAATTCAAAAATATAGATCTGTGCTAAATGATTGTTTTATTTAAAATATTATTTGTAATTTAGTCAAATATTTATTTTTGTTTTTTTTTTTTTTTTTTTTTTTAATCAAATATTTTTTTTTTTTTTTTTTTTTTTTTTTATTTTAAAACCATTAATTTGTTTCTAAACTATTTTATTTTATTTCAAAGTTTAGTTAATATTAATATATACTTATTTATTTATAAAATTATTTTATTTTGCTTGTGCCTTGTTGAAAATTATAGTCCAAACTTTTATATAATGATTATAAATTAATTAATCCAAACAGAACCTTATATAAACCAATTAATGTTGCAAGAAATTTAATTAATAAACAAAATTATTTTATTGGAAACAGTACTCAAGTATAAATTTGTTAACAATATACATAGTTTATGATGTATGAATGATTACATTCATTTTTGAGCAAAACATTTATATTATAGTTAAATTATAAATATATTTAAACATTAAATTTGAATGATTTATTTACAAGTCATTGTTTTTTATTTGCGTTTAAATAAGTAAAAAAACAAATTGATGTTAATCCAAAAGGGTTAAAATATTAAAAATAGCTTATTGTTAAAATATTTTGTTTTATTTTTTCAGTTATATTTTATTGTTGATTATTTATTTTTGATTTTAACACATTTTTACAATACAATATACATGTAATATTAACTAAGATTTATTTCTTGGTTTTTCAAATATTTCATGTCTATATTATTTTGCTGCTATATTTGTGTAAATGGTCTAAAAACCATTTTTGTTAACCGAATTTAAATAATTGTAATATCTTTTATATGTTAGTATTGATTGTCATTGGACTGCTTTAAAGGAAAAAAGTATTTTGATTATATAAATCCTTTTAATCGTACAAAAAGTTAAACTTTTTCAAGTGTTTGAGAACAAGAAAAAATTACATTAAACAATGTTAGAATAAATGTATCAATTTCACTAAGTTAATTTTTATATAATTGCAACAAACTATTCAATATACTACCTTATATGTTTATATGAAATATTTACAAAGCAAATGTATAATGGTTTTTTTTTCTTGCCATTTTGTGTTTAGACTTTATTGGATTTAAATATTATATTTCATTAACTATAAGTTGTGAATTTTGTTTTAAAAATATATATGTGTGTGCCTTTATTTTAACTTGATTTATTTAATAGCCTATTAATATATTATGTTATACTAGTCACTTCTCAGGAGACTAGGACTAAAATTGTACTAAAAAGAATTGGATGCTTTAAAAAATATAATAAACATATTTAAGAAATTTGAATAGAAATTTTTAATTATATTACACTTTTCATTTTAACGGAGTTAATTGTTTTGATCATGTATACAATATTATATAATTGATAACAATAATTTGTATTAATAGTTATGATTAAACGGAACCTTTTTTTTAAATTTAAAAACCCAAAGTTCAAATCCTTAGTTATTACGACCAAGATTTTTTTTAAGAACCATGTTGTTAATGAATACCTTCACTGGAAAAGATACCTTGAATGGTATCTTATTAACAAAATAATCAAATGAAGATAACTTGTACATTGTTTTTTTTACATATACGATATACCTCAAGAGCAATTCATTCTTTATTGTATAATTTTGTGTCTTTGCGGTTGCATATTATTGTAGTGTTTATTCAATGACAAAATATTTCCTTTTACTCTGTAAGAGTTAAAGCTACTAAAAATCAAAGATACAAATCTGTTAATAGAGGAAATATATTAGAATACACCTATATTATGACGTTAGCAAAGAAAAATGTTTAATTGTCAAAATTAATTTATCTTTAAAACGTGGCAAAATACTTTACGGCCACGGGTTACTGATTATAAGTCAATGGGCTACAGATACGGTTACCTTGATTAGTATATCTTTGACTTGTGTTGAATAAAATAGCAAAAAAATATTAAATAATATTGAGTTATTTTATCATTAGTGTTTGGAACATTGAACGTATTTAAGTTTTTAAAGTACATGAAGAGTAGTTAAAAAAGTACTTGGATCATTAGTATCTTCTATTTTTAAGGTGATTTCTTCATACAGCAAATTGAACTTTGTTAATATTTTTGAAAAGTCAGATGTCAGAATTAAATAATTCTCAGTATTTTTTAAAAATAACGAGGAAAAATTAATAAAAATGTTTAAAGAATTTGATTGAAAAGCCAATTATTGACAAATTTTTTTTTTGATATTTTCAACTCAACAACAAATAAACATAGATTTTGAAATTTGAACCAAATGCTTATATAAGCATTTTTTATACATGGCATGGTTTTTTAAAATATCATTTTTTCTTTTTATAGGCATGTTAAACATTCATTTTTTTTTTTTTAAATTGTTGTCAATAAAATATTTGTAAGTGTAATACAAGGTTTCTTAAGATCTTACTGTAGCTATTAAAAAAATATTAATGAGTTATATTTATAAGCAAGTTCACATTTTGGCAAAATTAGATATTTAAATGAAAAACTAACCTTAACATATCATGTATATATATAACATTTTGAAAAAATTTAGATTAAATTGTATACCTATGAATCGTTTATATCATTAACTAGAATTATTAAAATAAATAATTACTATAATAATATAAATACCTACGTATTTGAAAATAATCAGTCATCTTCACACCAAATATTTCTGTATATAATTACTTATCATTGGATTCAGTGATTTACATTTAATGAAAATATCTATCAACTGAATAATAAAATTGTAGAATGATTGAGTAATTATAGTACCTATTTTTTGCGTTTTCATTATAAAAACACCGCTAACAAATAAATATTAGTTATGAAGGAAGTGTTCTTTTTCAGTGTTTCAGCACTTATTTTTACAAATAATATACTACCTACCTAATAGTTCTAATATTTAATCAAGGTTGAGAGTTAGTAGCCCCAAACAAATTAAATGACCTGTTAAATTTTTATTGGAATTTAAAATACTTATTCGTCAGTCATTTTAACTCGAATCATTGGATCTTCCTTAGATAATATATACAATATTTTGTTAAGCTCAGCGTCCAAATTAAGTAACCCAATAGTAACATTTCACAAACTGGTTAGGCAGTCCTAATTTTATTATTACAATAACATACAGTTACTTTTGTTACCATAGAATTAATAAGCCATGAATTGTTGTTAATTTTATTTAAAATGAACAATTCCATAGAACTTAAAAAAAATAATTATCTTACAATATATGGTTTTAATCATAATTTTGGAGAATATCCTTTTACAATTTACTTGTGAACATACTTTGGTTTACGAGGATGTGTATGTGCAAAAATACATTTTTATAAGCTCAAGTTATTATTTATTGTAGAAACATTTATCAAAAGTATACTTCTTGTTTAATTTAACTTTGTCAATTATCAAATTTTAAAATATGCGAGGATCAGATTTCAAACCAAACTAGCAACTGGATAAAAAATACCATGTAAAAAAAAAAATCATCAAAAACCTACGATTAGCAGCTTAGTCTTTATGTATCATATCATTACAAGCCAATCGACAGTGTATTTCATAGGTAATTATAGCTATTTAATTATGAACACTATAGTTGTTCCAAAAATATTTTATGATTATCCTCTATAGTAAAAATTTGATGGTGCCTATATCAAAACGTATAGAATATTGTATCTATATTCTATATGGACTTTATGATTATAAAAAACATGAAAATTTATGCGAATTTACTATCAAGATTAAAAACAATTAGAAATACTAAATTAGATTTTTATCTTTATTATAATCAATTAATTTACTATTTACAAAAATGTACATGAATAACAAGTACTACAAATTAATTCTTACTGTAAAAAACTAGTTAAGATTTTGATTTTATTTCTAAAACGTGTAAAAAAAATAAATAAAAAAGAAACAACACTGAATTTTTGAATTATATTACTTTGTTTTCTTTTTAAATAATTGTAATAAGTTTTAAATATAATTAAATGATTTTTTGTAGTTATTAGAACCTTAAATTTATACATTATAAATAACTACATATGGGTTGCGTGTATTAACTTAATATAATATTTATTTCATACTTTTATTTTGAAGGTACAATAGATAGTGTTTATAATATTCAAAAATTTAATCGTTTTTCCTTAATTCTTTCTTTGCATTTATATACAGTTTCATTACATTAGTAGGTTATAAATTACCAAATATGATAACTCTTTACAAATATATATTATATTGTTATTGCTAATCTTCTTCCTCTTCCTCTTTAATTTTCTTAGAATTGGAAGTTTTTTCAGCAAGTCGTATAGCTTTAATCAAAATTCTTTTTTCCTTAAGTTTTTTTATTCCTTCAGATTCTAAATTTCTAAAATATAAAATATAAAATTAGTTATAAAAGTTATATTAATGTTAGTATAGTACATAACTAAACACACAAAAATAACATAGAAATAAAATGCTACTTTTAAATGTTACATATCATTAGTTATTTTAAATAAAAAATTGTCATACTTTACAAAAAAATTCACAAATAATGGTAAATAATAGGGCAAGTTTAAATTGTATTTCTATTATAATAGAAAAAACTATTATTATAAGTCAAGTCAAAAGACAGAATACAACCACTTATAAATTGCAATGTATACAATAAAATATTTAGTTATTATTAAATAAATTTTAGTTTCCACAAAAAAAGAATTACAATTCTTTTTCTTTAGATAGTTATCCAAAGAAAAAAAGAAAATGTTTGTTGAATTAATAGATTTATCAACTCTATGTACTCTATTTATAAGTATAGAAAGAAATTCAAATAGTGTCACAAGTAGCTAAAGTTGCTAATAGAGCTCTAGGTAATTGATGTTAAAAATAACAAATACATACAATTAATATGAAAACATTTATGGTTTATCAATTAATACCATTTAATCAAAATTTAAGTATTTTACTTACGCTACTGCAAATTTAATTGATTGCAACACCTTCCGATTTGGATTAAAAGGTACTAAGGGTAGAGCTTCATCATCAGTACTTTCATATTCAGATGAAGAATAAGAAAAGCCATATTTTTTAACTTGCAATGCTCTTTTGGCCTTTTTCTTCTTTAAAGTTTCCCTTAACTGTTTCTTTTCTAAATCAACATATTTCCTTTTTATAGCTTTTTTTGGTGGTTCCATAACATTTTTTGGTAGTTCTATAGGTTTTTCTTTGGGTCTTTTATTTGCGATATCTTTTAAATGAACATAACATTGAGGCATAGAAGAATTACTAGTACTAGCTTTAAATTTTGTCTCTTGAGAACCACTCGTACTTGGTTCACATAATTTTGCTCGAGCAGCAAGATCAATAGCTCTCCTGCTTGCTAAAAATTCTTCCTAAGGGTACAATACTTTATTATTTCAAAAACAACAGTAATTATTAATGATTAAAATGATAAAACTCACAACTGTAGGGATGTTAGAGTTGTCATCAGATGTTGCAATTGAAGTCTTGGGAGCCAAAGTCTTTTTGACTGGACCTAAACCACTTAATTTGGAACGACTCAAACCATTTGTTTTGGAAAATCTTTCCATTCTTTCATCTCTAGAATTTAAATGTTTATATAAGATATTTGTAGATAAGAGTTTGAGAATATTCTATACCAGCATTATACTAACATTTACATCTTTATTATTTTTGCAATTAAAAAAAAATATAATCATAAATTTTAGAAAAAGCAAAAAAAAATTAATAATTTTAGAAACAATTAACTAGGACAATATAAATCCCGCCCATGCAATACATAGATCATATATGTTTTTAGCTAGAGTAGCAGTTATGTTTGGTTATTTAGTTTGATTTTATGACTTATTTATAATTTAACTTGAAATATAAAACAAATAAACTCATTTTTAATAACTTAAATATTTAAATAAAAACAAATAAAATAAAAATCTTGATGAATACAAATTAAAATAAAGTTTATAAAAAACTGTAAATGGGAAAAATAATAATAAAATATATTAGCAATACCATAAACAATTATACATTAATTATCAATAATTGTTGTTTAGTAAGTGGCTTTAAAATTATAATTAAACATTTTTTTTCTATTTTTATTAGTTTTACAGAAATTTTTTTTTAAAAACTTAACATAATTTGGATTATGAAATTTGATAAAGGCCTAACAAACGTTAATCTTTTTGATTTTATAAAAAATTAATGTGCACAAAAGTACCATTGTATTTACTATTATAAGTCATACTCATAATTATATTTTATTATTAACACACTATTGAACAGTGGCCAGTAAGTTTGCTATCATTGTGATACAAATAGTATAAGTGGGTCATTAATTTATAAAAAAATGAAAAAACTCAACCAAATCTAATCAAGGTAAAACATATTCTTAAGAATAAGTATATTAAATACAATATTATTCCATGTCTCGATATTAAATAATATAATGTTAAAGTTATTTTAGCTTGGCTTCCATTAACCGGGACAAAATTAATGACCAGCTGGGACACCAGGACATGCTGTTAAAACCGGAACGAATGGCAAGCCTAAGAATAAGGCTCCTAGGATTATATATTCAAAAAAAATATATAGCTGCCAATTATATAATGGAAATTAAAATTGTCTAAAATTAATTAATTATTTAAAATATAAGAAAAAAATGTTTAATATGTGACTATTTGCCCAGTTTTCAGATGGTAATTCAAATTGGTGGAATTGTGTAAATTCTAGTATACCGGAAGGAATTAAAAATTTAATTTTTACTGTAATAATCTAATCATATCTTAAGTATAGTATTATTACCTATTTATTTTCAACCAATTATCAGCTTCTTTCACAGCCGAATCCCATACCATCATTTGCTTCTTACTATTTTTGATTAGTGCCTTTAAAACATTAAGAATTATTACAAAATAAATTCAATGAATAATTTAATACTGTTTGTCATTTAAACTTCTAGTTTAAGTGATAAATTTTTAATATTTCTGTGATTACCCTTAAAATATATGACATTAATACTTTAAAATAAAATGGTTTATTAAAATATTGACGATATTATAAAATAAATATTAAACAATTTGCTAAAAATAAACTTAACACTACATATTTTATTTAAATTGTTATTGTATAAATTATATTTTATGTAACACTATTATGAATTTGAATTAAATATATCCAATTTTCTAAGTATATTAAAACTCTTTTTAAACCTTTTCATGTCAATAAAAATCGTATAATCTGAAATTTAATCATTAATAGTGAAAATTTTTTTACACATAACTATTTCTGAATAACAATGTTTTTAATACTTCTTCATGTCATAAGATCCTACTCTACAGTAGCTGTGTATGTTATTACTCATTACCAATGAAAGATGGTCATATTTCTAGCTATTTATCAAATTTTAATTTATAGTTATGCAATAATATCAATATCAATAATAAATAACTAAATGATTAAAGTAGACATTTTTCTACACTGTATAGTTTTTTTTAATATTTTGAGCTATTATTAACGTTAGATTGTTTTTTAGTTTTATTTTACTGTACAAAAAAACTTTAAAATGCAATACAAGGTTCCTTATAAATTATTATTACTAAGAAACAAAAATAGTTGAGCATAATAATACAAATATTTTATTTTACAAGTATCTAAAGTTAAGATATTCATATGTAGATTAACGATTTTTCATCAAATGTTTCACAATATTTTATTACCCATTAAGTGATGAAAGAATAATAGAATAGCGGAAGGATTAGATAGATGTTTAAGATCTATATTTAAGGTCCATGAAACAAATATATTATTTCAGCTTAATTAATAAATATTACAATTTACACCTAAATACATCACATAAAAAAAAAAAAAAAATGAACATGAATGGGAAGAAAACTGAATAACAAAAACATGTGATCATGATCTACTAACAGATGAAGAAATGAATAAAAACTATTTAATCCAATGATGGATCATACTAAGCATTACAAAAATTATGAATACTAAAGATTTTATGAAAGATTTGCCCTATACAAAAAAATTGTGCATACTGATAGCTTGGTATCTTATTATAATGCAATGCTGAAATATATGCTGAAGCGAATACATCTAAAATACAGAGGTAAGTACTTCTATTATGGTTTTATTAGATCACTACAATAAATAAATGATAAAATTATTAGGAAAATATATAATGAAAAATGTATGAGCGTACAGATATTGATTGGAAAAAACAAATTATGCAAGAAGCACTCAATTTTTGGCTAAAAAAGAAACCAAACAATAATAATACTTATAAAAATTCCACAAGTAATAGAAATTCTCAAGTCTATAGCTCCAATACTAAGACCTATTATTAAAGAAGTACATTCTAAAAAATATTCCAAGATTTTTCATTTAACTTTTATATATTTGTTAAACATATTTATTATATTATTTTTAGCTTTTGTATAATAATAAATATATATATAATACATGTGCTAGTGAAATATCAAAAAAATATTTCTTTGTTATCTATACTAATTATCATAGTTAATATAATAAAAATTAATTTGGTAAAACAACAAAATATACACCAACATTTATGAAAACCCAGACTTAAGATAATTGTTTAAACTTTTGTCGATTATAACAAAAAATATAAATAAATAACTTGGACCGTGTCAACAATTTCTGTATAAAAATATAAGCCATTGCCACGCTGTGTGATATCACACACTATTTGACTTGGGCTCAAACGCCTCAACAACAAATCAATAAATACAAATTTTAGTACTACTGTTAGTTATATTAATTATCTATTGATTGAACCAGTAATTTTTATTTTTGTTTCAGGATCTTATGACTTTAAAAGTATGTTAAAAACAAATTAACATAAGACATTTTAAGTCTAACTATTTCTTTCATATGATTAACTATTATTTTTTAAAGTAAAATCAGTTTTGTGTAAATAGTTCTTAAGCAATACTTAATAAATACATTTAATACCATCAATTAAAAAATAAAAATACATTAAACAAAGAAATTAGTAGCTATATATTTCATTAATTTTGATTGAACCTATCTATTTAGGTAAACATTGTCTCAGAATATATCACTAAACTTACTAAACAATTGGGATGGTCTGTGAGTAACTTATCTTTTCCATTATACATTTCTACAATTTTAGCCCAACTTCTTCTGCCTTGATCATTACAAAATCGTACGTGTAATGAAAATTTTCTTTTATTTTCTAAAAAATATATTAAAAAATACCTCAAAATAAAATTTAAGCAATAGGACTTAAGTAGGTTAGGTTAACCCAAAAAATGTGTGTATATGGCATACAGAAGTTTATTGTCTATTTATAAATAATATAGACGATGTACTTAATGAATGAAACTCAAAATATAAAGCATTTATGAACTAATAATGATTTTATACTACCCAAGTAATTTACCTACTTTTTAAAAACAATATTTTATTATTGCTGAAATACAAATAACATAAGTAATTGGGCCCAACATAAGATTTTCCAGCATCTACATAAGTAAAAAGTAGGGCTCAGATTTTGTAGAAAAATAAATCCTTAAAAAAGCAAAAAATGCATTTATTAAATGTAATTCTAAAAAAAACAAATTTAAATTACACATAAAATGAAATATTTAAGAAGAAATTTACAACTATATATTTAGTCAAGTTACTTTCATTAAAACTCATCCTATTGAGTGCTAATAACGATTATAAAGAAATTATTTAGAACGCTATACCTCACTGAATAATATTTACCGGTCAACTAAAGTATTAGAATATGTTATAAAAAAATACAGATAAAATTCAAATAATTTTAAAACTATACAATTTCAGCACAATAACAACAGTTATTTTATCAGTTATTCATTTATTACTTTTTTTTTCACCAGTTTTATAATTTCTAAATAAATTAAATTTTCAAGAAAAATCAGTAATAATTTAGAAAAAAGAAGCAAATAGAAGAAAAAGCAAAAAAAAGTTTACTTTATTGAAATCAAAAAGATACAAAACATATTTATGTATAATAATTATCTTTCTATTACACTTCCCTCAAAAGAAGCATTTGCTACAAAATCCGAGCCTTAGTAATAAGTATAATCAAATATGAAAAAATATAAAAACACATTATATATTTATACTAAATCACTAAAATGTTATTGAATACTAACATAAATTACTTACGAGGTGTTCCTTTAATGTGAATATTAGTTTCTGGATCAATACAGACTATGCTAGGCCAAAATGGATATTTTCCAATTTTAGCCCAAACAATATCACCAACTTCAAAATCGTGTATTTTGTTTTCATTACTTGGAGAAGTAGGAGATATATGTTCCACATCTTTTATAGATTTTTCTGATTTAATAGGAGACTCTTTACTCAATAATTTAGAATTATCATCTAAGTTAGATGTATCGGTCAATACATGATTAACAGGAGGTAATGAGCTTGTTGAACACGATAATTGATCTTTTTCAATACAACTTGATTCATTCTCTACAATAGAGTCAGCCATTGTACAATTTGATCTGTAATAAAAAGTGTTATAAATCATGCATTTTAAGTGTAAGATTTAAGTTAGTTATTAGACATACATTTTTTTCTCTTATATAAGAAAATTAACAATCTACGCTACATATACAATACAAATATAATAGAATAGTTTTTATTAAAGAATAATATGAGGAGGGTGCTGTCATCCAGTGATAGAATCCAATAAGATTTAATCTTAAAATTACTTTTATAGATATTTGACTGATTAAAATAATTTCAAAACTATTATTAATATGTTGTAATAAATTACTATTAATTTCTCCCCAAAATATAAAACAAGACCAAAAGTTTTTAGTAAAAATAAATAATTATTTTATTTTATAGGTACATATTATTTATGAGTCAATTTGTGTTATAAAAACAGAATAAGAAATATAATAAGGCTGTTATAAAAAAGGCATATAAATAGAAATTTATGATGTAATTATAAATAGCTAATATTTGTAGCCAAATTGAATTAAAAAAAAAAAATAATGTGACAAAATTGACTCCAAGTATATGAAAAATCAATGTCCCAAAACTTTGTTAACCTGAGAGAAGCATCATTAGTATTTATGACCAAAATTATTTTTATTTTATTGCAATTAAACAGTATATTAACATATTGCCAAATCGAAAATTACCAATACCTTTTGTACATGAATACAATGTTTAATACTTATTTTTAGTCGTTCAGACTGAGCACAAAAAACTAAATCGAATTTAGATGACTGAATAATATTATTATTATTCATTTGAATAAATTATAATTAGTTTTAGTTATATAATAAATAAAAATAATATAAAGGTAAAATTTTAAATGTTATTCCACAAAGTAATATTAATTCATAAATTCATAGAAGATAGTTGGATAAATAGTTATTTATTGGATAAAAATGAAAAAAATTTAAACTTATATTTACATATTTTAATAACTTGTTTAGACAAATTAAATTTCACATATTTTCATTAAGTTTTATTTTAATAAAACCGTATTGACAAAAAAGCTTAATTTATTATTCTGTTAATAAGTCATTAGTCATTACCAATATAAAACAGAAACTATGCATTATTTATATTTGTAATATTATTTTATTAAGTAAAAATAATAGTAATTACAATATGGAATTAACAATTTCACATTGGATTCAATATAATACAGTAATACTATAAACAAAATAAAAAGTTGCAATTTTAATAATAAATGGTTCTCCCTACCTATTAAAAATGGTCAATAGTAGCATTCATTTCACAATTACAAACTGGATATTTAGTAGCTAGGTAAGTGTTGACTGTTATGTCAACCGTTTCATTCCAATTTTGTTTTTGATAAAACAAACCGATTTAAAACACAGCTTAGTATTCTGTAAATTTTCCATAGCTCAGAAACAGTCAAAGTACAAAAAGCAAATACCTATAACCAAGTCAAAACTGGATAACAGAAATAATATTTTATTACAATTCTAAATCTATTATCCACCGAATTCAGTTAGAAATTTACTCGTACTAACGAGTAAGAATATGTACAGAGAAAAAAAATAGGTATGACGTTTTTTAACATATAAAATAATAATTTAAGTATCATTATATCACGATAATCTAAAAAAATATAAAAGATGGTTTTTCCAAAAACAAATCACGGCGGCGACGGCGGCGGCTGATGACACAATCATAAAAATAATATAATATACAATTAAGGAGTCTTGTGTGTTCACCAGAGCATTCGACGACTCAAAATAATAATAACATTACCATCACAGCTTGTGATTACGATTTACACAAGCATAGTTGATAACGTCGTTTGGGACATATCGCCCAACTCTACGCTAGAACGAAACGAACTATGATATAACAACGACGAATAGCCAGTGGTCCGTTAGTCGCGGCTAAAGATAACAAAGAAATGTATAGAAAATGCCTATATTAAATGCATATAAGGCTCTTCCGTAATCGTGATCCCGTGCGAATAATCAAGCTAACGTATTAACTCATGTACTCCGTTAAGGTAGTATTACTTACCGGGTGATAACTCTACTGTCAGCTGACCCACGCAATTCTGTATTATCTATATTATATAGTTCGATTCCTTTGGTTTAGTGGACGATAGAATGCCGTCGGATTTCGAGTCTCACAAGCAATGTTATTGATCTCACTCATTATCTAGATTAGCATACACTAAATGTCCATTTAAGACAATAAAATAGAAACGACCACTGACGACATAACTACAAAAGAATATTCCACAATTTAAACACAGTATTGAAACGCTACACTCGTCGCGACTGTATTTTATTCACGAAGCCTTTGAGCGTTAACCGCGTAAACATACTAACGGTAGAAATTGTCTAGATAAAATAATCACCCGTATTCGTAATTATATTATCGTCGGTTTGTCTCACGAGACCCGGAACACCCTAACAGCAATAAATAACTGACCTATAATAATAAATCGATCAGGAGTCAAGGGCGCGAATGATCACACGATGATAAACAATAAATTAATAACAACAACAACAATAATAATAATAATAATAATAATAATAATAATAATAATAATAATAATAATAATAATAATAATAATAATAATATTAAAATATAATTTACCTCTGAGCGGAGTCAACGGTGATGTCAAATGTCAAAACCGACACGGCAATTATTATTATTGGAACGACGACGAGGAAAAAACCCACTGACAGATCGACAAGATTAAATTTAAATGCCGCGGTGCCGACTGCAAACGCGAACGCAGTACACCACAGAAGACGACAGAGCGCGGCGGACGACGCGAGAAGAATGAGAGACGAGAGTGTGCGAGACTGCGAGAGTCCGGCGGGCGGCGGCGACCATGTGAATAAAATCGTGAGGAGTAATCCGCGTAGACGGAGCCCATGCCCATTGCTATTTGCTGCTCGTCCCGCGACCCCGTCTGTTGCCACCCACCGACCACCAGATCAGGTTTTCGTCGGTGGTGTGCGTGTGTACGTTAGTACGTCGTGTTATCGGTGTAATCCGAAAATGTCTTACACTGTTGATGGGTGACGGGAAGGGGACTTGGACATCCGGCACTCGGTTATTTAATGCAATACGAGTTTAATTTTATAATTATATTATTTCCAAGCCATAGTCCACTTTGTAAACAATCGAATTCTAAATTCCGAACAAAATAATAATAACATATTATATTATTATCGCATTCGCACGCGTTTCGGTTGAATTTCTATTGGGATAACCTACCGAAGCCGAAAGATAAATAATACGCATTATTTTATAGTGCGTACGTATTTTTAAATAAAAATAATAGTGCTGTCGAACGAATAAAAATATTATGTTTGGTGTTAGAAAAAAAAAACAAAAAATAGGCGTACTAAAGAGAACGAAAGTGCATCTAACATTGACCAAGCAGTATTTAATATACATTTTGAAATTAAATTAAATTCGTTTGCTTGTTTGGAAATTTACTTTTGGTATTATTTTAGTTAATATAGTAGGTATAATTTTAGTAACATAATAAATAATAATACTATTATATAGAGAGTTCAATTTTTTCTAAAAAAAACTTGTACTTATCAATTTGTCATATTTTACTAGTGGAATGAAAAAAATAAAATCCAATTCAAGGCAAACCTGGATTAAAAGCATACGAACTAAATTTAGTTTTTAAAATTAAAATTATGCTGCATAATAATATACTAAATGTCTATAAAAAATTTTAAATATTTATATACCGTACAAAATATATTTATTTTTCTTCAACTTATTGATCTAAGCCAGCGTTTCCTAACCTTTTTCCCTCGCGGCACACTATTCCCAACCCACATTCAGCTGTGGCACACTTGTCACTGACTTATATTTGTACACATATTTTTTTTATAGTAGGCTTTCTTCATTTTAATTATCAATACCAAAATAGTTGTATATCAGTATATTACTAGCGTTTAGCAAATAATTTAAATGATATGTTTATTTTAATAGGAAAAAAATATTACAATTATCGTAAATATTTAATTTATTGAAATAGAAAAATAAGATACATAATAATTTCATAATTTGGGACTGTTTTCCCTTCATTATAATTTATGAGCTTCTTTCGTGGTTGAATGGTTCATGGTTGACAAACACACCCTCATTTCGCCTTCCAAGTTGTTTTAAAAATATTTTAATTAATTACTGAAATTTCACGTTAACGTTTTGTGGCACACTTATAGAGACCTCACGGCACACCGATCGGGTAACATTGGTCTAAACACTCTAAATACATGAAAAATATAAATTTATATAGTCTTACTAATATAACTAGTAACTACTAATATTTTAAATACTTTTTAAACAAAAAAAGTTAATTTATAACAAAATATAACAATATATTTTTTATAATTTTATTGAATAAATTATTGATAAACTTAGTAACTTATTGACTTAGTTTAAGATTAAGACAATTACTAAAATTAATTCATTCGATTTCCGCACTGACGAACGACGACCATAACTATTATCTAGAATACCTTACCGCCAAATCTACAATAAAATTTCTATAATAGTAGTACGGTACTAATAAGTAATAACTATTCTGAAAATAATAATATGTAGATACCAATATAATATTTACGAGGATATAATATATTGTATAACATAATTCTATGGAATTATATTTTGTAATTTAAAAATTATACGTAACACGATCATTTTATATTTAATGGAAATTTGAAATCACGATTCGCAAAATCACAAATTATTATTTTCGGGTATTGGAATGGTAGTTAATTTAATTTAATTTTAATGGTATTAATAATAAAAATAATGATAATTAAGTATCTAATACAATTTAATATTTAAAATTGATGAGTGTCATGTTATATGTGGAAAGGTGCAAAGGGGTTGTGATCATATTTTTGTGGGTGAGAATTTATTAAATGCGAAAAAAATTTCTAGAATACAATTTTGTGAAGACTTATTTATTTTTGTCACTTTCAGGTACGGTGAGATACTTTTTGTCCCACCTCAAAAGTCATATTTCTGTCATGAACTACGGTGGTACGAAAAATAACTCATCTTTTAATATAATTTTTCTCAGTTACAAAAATATTTTCCATCATTAGTTAATAAATAAATATTGATAGATAGTTTATAGTTTATCAAGTGTAGTGTGTATAATATTTGTTTCAGAATAAAAAGAAAATTAATTCATTTCATATTAATAACTGTGTTACAGTTTTTTTTCAAACGTCTGGAACTCGTTTTATTCAACTTAGTTTTGCTTATATTATTTATTTTGGTATTTAATTATTAATTTATAAATATGAATGATAAATGATAATACTATGTTATAAAGTTAAAATACAGTATTATTATAGATACACAATATAGTAATAAGACATAATATATTGCATGTAAAATCATTTATTAACATATATATCTTATAACTGTTTCTATATTTTTTGATATATATTTTATGGATTTTTTTAAAAAGTTTTTATTAATATTTGTTATGTATCTAATAACTCTCATTAATATTTATAAAAACTTTTTAAAAAAATCCATAAAATATATATCAAAAAATATAGAAACAGTTATAAGATATATATCTTATAATATAAAATATGTTAATAAATGATTTTACATGCAATATATTATGTCTTATTACTATATTGTGTATCTATAATAATACTGTATTTTAACTTTATAACATAGTATTATCATTTATCATTCATATTTATAAATTAATAATTAGATACCAAAATAAATAATATAAGCAAAACTAAGTTGAATAAAACGAGTTCCAGACGTTTGAAAAAAAACTATTTTTTATGTTATGTATTATTTTTGTTATGTATCTACTAACTCTCAACATTCAAAAAACAAATAATGAAACCCGTTATTTTTGAATCTATTGATAATGAAAGTTCAGAAAACTTTGTTTAGTAAAAAAATTGCTTTCACATCAAAATTTGTTTTAATTGTATTTTTAAATTAAATGTGAAAGTAGATAACTGTTTTGATATACAATACAACTAGTACTGAGTACTTAGAACACATTATTATTTAATAGGTCTCTGTAATTAAATTACTACAAAAAAACTAGAATCGTTTGATGAAAGTCATTATTTTACACAAAATATCCAATTTTGTCAAAATTTAAATCTTGGACACTCATAAAACTTTTTGTGAAATTACACACTTTTTTTTTGAATTCATGTAAGCAAAACTTACACAGATAAATTATAAAACCTTAAAAATTTTATACGAGTACATTATTGTAAATGTTCATGATTTTGAAAAGTTTTGTTAAAATTAAAATTCTTACTTCAAAAGTTCATAAAAAAAATATGTTATAGATAAATAGATTTACAATCAAATAATTTTTTTATTTCAATATTAAAATTCTATTTTGGTCGAGTAGATAAAAATTATTGTAATCCATTAAAAAATATATTTATTTCTCATATTTTAGAAAATATTAGAATTCGTTTATGCTTTCAAATGATATATTGTTTAATATAATCAGTTTGTTATCAAATACTAATCTAAATTTTATGATTATTGCCTTGTTGGATTACCACTGTATATCAAGTAGTGGCGTAGATATTCCAGACTAGAGGCACAGAAGCAATTTCCTCAAGACCTTAACATTCTTTGGAGGCTAATAGCACTGTTTTAATTTAACAAAAATTATAATTTTCATTATTTTCTGAACGAAAAAAAATATTTTGTTTCGGATCGCTTTTATGGATACATAATACTACTAATAACAAACGGTCTTTAACGTACGAGTATGTTTATTTCTTATGTAAAACTTATAATATGTTTATTTATATTATTCATTTTTTATAATTTTTAATTTTGAGGTAAACTTACAAATAAAATACACTTATTACTACTTATTCTTCTTATTGTTATTAACGTCGAAAAGCAATAAAGTTTAAAATTATAAGGAAAATAACTGGGAATTTTTACTTTTAAGTTTTAACCCTCTAAGTACGAAATTCACTTTTCTAACGGAAAATATATTTAAGTTGAAGATTGAAGCATTTTTTCTATTAAAAAAAGTACAATAGAACACAAAATAATTTCATAAATAAAATAATATTTAACACTTTATGCATACTAGCATAATGTACATAGGTCATTGACTATCACACCATTCTTATAATTTACTTACTGTTTTATTTTTAACACTTAAATTATCATTTTTCTAAGCAAATACTTTTGTTCAATATAGTTCGAAATAGTTTTAAAACTCTGTGTATGAAACAATGAAATCATGAAAATAATAAATAATAGTACAATTTTAGTAGGTACACACTTTTTTATTTTGGAAATTCCCAGTTTGCCGCAGTTTGAACGAAATTCAGACAGACGAAATTGTTACTCTGGTAGTGATAAATAATAATTCATATTATGTTTGAACGTTTGATGCATTGTGCCGACCGCCGAAACGGTACAAACGGTACTGCGTCAGTGTGTGTTTCTTTATCTTGGAAAAACCTTATCTTAGAAATAGTACTCGGATTGACATGTTTCTATTTTCATATTATTTTTGATTATAACTTGTAAGTTATTATTAATTATTTTATTATACTATATACACGTCTGTCGTATTTAGCAGTATTCATTTCGTGTTTCTCCGTAGGCCGTTATATGACAATATTACGGCCTACAATGTGTACATTGTCTACATGTTTAATATTACAATATGTAATATTAAAATAACTAGAAAAAATTATTTATTTCAAACATTGAAAATCAACTTTATAATTAATTATGCACTATTATGCCGTCTTCTTTAGGAATGTTAATCGAAAAACGTACGTGACTATGAAATCTACAAAGGCTCATAACATTTTGTGTACATAAAAGTAGAAACTAGAAATATGAAAAAAAAATATACACAAAAATTAGTTGGTTACAAATTTACGATGCGTGATGACCTTCGATAGTGTTCGTAGGTAGGTTTTTCATTGTTTGTATAATGTTATTGGACAACGAGAATAATTAATAATAGTATAATGAAATTTAATAATTATTGCCCGGACCTGGTCTTAAAAATTATTATTGTAAAATAGACAAATAATTCCAATTTGTTATTATAATTTAAATTTAAGTCTGACAATCTAATTTAAATTTTATTATACTTTTTAACTCTAAAAAATTAAAAATTGATGCACTTTATGCTTATTGATAATATTCTCACATCCGTTTCATAATGTATAACCAAAAAAAAAAAAATTAATAATAGAGTAAGTCCAATATTGTTTTAAGATTTACACACAAGTAATAATACAAATATTCGTATACACTATAATATCATATTATGATATCAATCTATTATACATTAATAATTATTTGCATGAAACAATAAGAAAATATGTTAGTATAATGTAAATATGTTACGTCGTTAATCGTTACGAAATATTTTTTTTGTATTTTTAAACAAAATAAATATTTAAAATAATAAATAATACTGATAAGTGATAAGTATTAACTATCAATTACTAATCAATAGTATTGTTATAATAATATTTATATATTATTATAATCATTTATTTCAATTTAAAAACCAGTTACAAGTATGTTTAATAATTAGTTTTAAGTAGATTATGTACTATCACTTAATTTTACTTATACCCTTGTTCAGTATTTTAATAATAGAGGTATAAACAAAATATTTAATTTTAAATTTGTTAATAATTATTCTAGATCACTACTAATTATAATTATATGGATAATATTTTGAAAATTATTAGATATTTAGTTACCAGTATGTAATTTATATGTATGTATACTACAGGTATGCATAGTTTAATTAATATTTTTAATATATTGTATATTTGTATGTTGTTTAAACAGTAATCGTAAGATTTATAGTATTCTATTAGTATTTTTTATACATTATATAAAGTAACTATATTATGAATTAAAAACATAAAGTACGGTATTTTATATAATTCGATTTTATTTATTTCCAATAAATAATATACTAATAATTTAAAACATTTTTGTACAAAAAATGATTCTTTAGGTTACAGACTCTTTGACGAATTCCACTTAATAGTTCAGCTCATTCACACCATTATCTATTATACATTTTCTCATTACAATATTAAATAACTTATAGTTTACATCAACTTGTTGAAAACTAAAAATTAATTTTTTACAGCATTAATACCCGACATTTTGCATCGTTATGTATTCAAGTATACAAATGAAAAATAGTTGAAATTCTTGCTGCTTTTATAGAATACAGCAAAATATTTGAAAAAGCTGTAAAATTTGTTTTCTTAAGATCGTATTTATTAGTCTATGATCCAAATAAATACACACTTTTTTAAAATTTATTTATATATAAATTGAAAATATATTATATAGTTATTGGTCTATTATATCTTATATCTGTAATATGGATATGTCGATGGTGAAATTAATTATTGTTTTTTTTTTTTTTTTTTTTTTTTGTGGGGGAGCTGATTATATTAAGCTACAATTTAACAGAGATGAATGTAAGTTCCCACGCAAGATATAGTAAGTAAAAATTATCCATGGTTATGCATACGTGATTTCCTATACAAAAAATACACCTATACGTAAGATAAATGAGTATACGAATAAATATTATAACAAATATGAATTTCTTTCATACTTTTTTTTAAACTTATACGACTGATAACTTATATGTATTTAGTTGTTTTAGTTTAAATCGGTTTGTTTTAGTATTAGTATTATACCAAAAAATCTTAAATTTAATTTTTAATTAAAATTATTTTTTTTTTAAATTCTTATTTCAATTAAAAATTGTCTTAAGTTTATTATTATTCTTTAAAAAAAAACATACACAGATGATATTTTTAATATACAATTATATCATATAAGAGATATATTGATAGTTAAGATTATAATATTTTAATGCACCTAGTTCTGTTGTGCGTGTGTACACAGTACAGTAGGTACAGTAAGTTTACTTTTACTTTTATATCTAGGAACTATATTAATATGTATTGGTGTTTATTATTTTGTTCATGTAGCAACTTACGTAAGGGTATTTTTATTTTCATGTACTAATTTATACATATAACTGCTAAATTTTACGTGAGAACTTACCAAACCCTTTTAATTGCGCCTATAAGCAACAAAAAGGTGTTTCATATAAATTATTTTATGATGACGTAAAAAATAAAATTGTCAATAAATTGTGTAACATAAATTTAAACGCAGCCTGGCTTGAAATTAATATCATACTGCATAAAATAATACAACGTTAATTAACTCGACAGCTGGTGATATGTAGTTAGTTGTAAGCAGGGGCGAAGTGGCTCCCCGGGATACCGGAAAAAATCCCGGTAGTCTGGAAGTTAAATGGTCCGTTGGCCTGAAGAGTATAGATAAAAAAAAATTTTACTTTATTCAAAAGATGAAGGAAATTTATTTTCCTGGCCTGAATATTTTTCCCACTCCGCCTCTGGTTGTAAGTATTATACGAGTAGCTACTTAAAAATTATACTTAAATACACATAAATGTCAAAAACGATATGTACAATTTGTGAAATGGATAGCGAATTTAGGTCGAATTCAAAGGTAAATACATAATATAAAAATAATATTAATAAAAACGAACTACCTATTGGTTTAGCGATAAACATACATACGTACCCCACTCATTATTTAAATGTCTTACTGTTTTATTGATGAATCAATCAGCCCATATATCATTATTTATCATAAAGATTTTATGCTCATCAAAATCATATTTTGTTTAAACTTAATGCACTGTAAATTATTATTATTTATTTTTATTCAAAATTTTTAATGTAGGTATGTTTAATAAATGTTAAGTATGTCAATTCTTAAATCTTATTAATCTTGTTGTTTATTATAATATATACCTACCTAAGTGAAAATTGAGTCATACATAAATGTAGCGCGTATGGCCATGATCTATGAGGCAATTTTATTATAATAGTTAAGCCCGTTTTTCTTAATGGAAAAGTACAAATTATTATAACTTCCATTTCTTTTTCATTATCATAAAAAAAAAAAAAAAATACATAGTAATACAGGAGTATATTTTATATTTTTACAATATTTAAATATAACTTAATTGGTGTTCTATAGACGCAGTATAAATTTGGGCTTAAAGAGTTGATACTATTTTGCTATATGCATATTATTTTATATGTATGATGTATAATGATTTGTTTGTATAATTAGTTTAAAAATAAAAACTTTCAAACACACACATGTTTAATACAATAATGGAAATTTCACTATAACTATCTACTTATATAATTATATAATTATTAATAATCGAATTACGATTACGTTATGCCAACATCCACGGGTTTAAGAGACATTGGGTCGCGGAAGCTCGATTATCCTGATCCAAGTCCAACATCGGTGTTAAAAACGATGAGAATGCTTTAGCTTCTTTTGTATTCCATTCGTATTTCTCTGTCAACACGTCGTATAGATACCATGGTTTCAAGTTACTGATGTGCTTCAAATTTCCTGCAATGGAGTATAACAGAACAATAAATAAAAATAAATTAAGATAAAGTACTATGACAGCCGACAGGTATATAAAGATTCATAAACATTTTGTTTAATAATTTTTGTGCAATCATGGGCGTTCAATTGATGGTTAATTTTAAGAAGTTTTAAGATGTACTGCTTGTACAAAGAGTCAGCAATATGTTTTAACTTTTAAGTTAAATAGGTCATATAGATTACATAAATCAATTTTCATTTCATCATACAAATTAAATCGATGATATGATTTTAATGTCGAATACGGACTTAAATGTTTTAATATGTTAATTTTAGATGTTGGATCCCACAAATAACTTTCTTATTTTATTTATATGAACAAATATAATTCCTTGTTGAATATTAAATTTATAAATTTTGGTATGTATTAATCGAAATTTGTTAAAAGTAGTTAGTAAGATTTAAAGAAGAAAAAACTTATTGGAATTCTTGTAATTAGATGGATTAAAATATGAATAATTAAGTATTGGTTTGATCTCTTGTGATGTGTGTAGAAAAAGTGACTATTTTATGATATAATTCATCATTTATGATTATTTTATAATATTATAAATTTATAAAAACATTAACCTCCGTGCTAATATTAAAATGCTATAAGACTAATGTTTTATAAAAAGTATTAAGTCCTAGTTAAAAATCAAATTTTCAATAAATTTATAATAGTATACCTAATCTATTGTAGGTAATTAGACTGACAGACCGTTTATGCTCAGAAACATTTTTCGTATAATGTAATCATTAATCAATGAATTCAAATTTCATATGTACCTATGCATTGTCTCCGTCTTACATACATACAACATCGTAAAACCGTTTCACGAGGGCAAGAACCATTAGAGCTATAGCCTGTATTTCAAGTTTTACCATATTTTATTTATAATTTTAACATATTCATTTAATCAATTATTATTTTAAGATCAATACATTAAATACTTCATTCACAATTTAAAAAAGATAGTTATTATAGATTTAGAGTCCGTTAAATTTAGATTTTTTAAATTTTGAATAGTTCTCTTACAGACATCGTATTTAAAAATGAAAACGATAGTGCATGTTATTATTTCTCTTCTTTTAAATGTAAATTTTATTTATAAATTCTTGATTTTTTTTCTCATTTTAAATTGCTTACACAGAATCCATTAAAAAACAAACTTGCAGCGTTTTCTCAAGCACGTATGAACGTGTTTTATCAAAATGGTGTAGCTTTACACAAATAATGAGTTTATGAGTTGCATTAAAGCATTAACATTACCGTTGGTCCTGAAAAAGCTGCTGGAGTGTTTGCCGCTTTGAATTACATACATCGGTATTTGGCCTAAGAGCTCGATTATGTGGGCTATATGGTCTTCGTCTTTGTTATAAGTGGCCCCAGAGTGTGGGTCGAATAAAAAATCACCGGTAGCCAACTCAAATGCCTGAAAATGTTAACACGTTTTATTTAAGTGTATATTGTTCGTACCTATGATAGTATATGATATAAAAACTACAAAATATAACATGTAATATGTATTATACGTATATAGATGTTAAGATCTATAAAATTGTATATTATAAAACTACAATGTATAAACGAGTTTAAAATTTACGATTTTCAGTTGTAGCAGAAATGTTTTTACATATAATTTACCATTTTGTATGTTATAGGAGTTGCTTAAATTTTGTTAAAAACTATTCAATGAATAATATAATATACATTTTTTCAACCGAAAATTTAAAAATATTGACTATTTTAAGTATAGGTACCTTTAATACTCAAATTTCATAAAGATTTTTGAGAAAATACCTTTAAATTAAAATCATGTACTGTAAAACCAATGAAAACGTTTATTGTTATAACTTATAAATATGTACTTGGGTATTAAGTATTAAAGTATTTTTTAATGCATTATGTGTTATTAAATATTTCTAGGAAAAGATTTAAAGTAATTATTTTGAATTTTTTGGACACGGGAGACAAATAATACACATACATGTATATTGTATATAGATTATTATAAACTATGTTTCATAAAAAACAAACCAGACAAGCTGTGCTCCAAATATCTGCAGGCGTGCCGTATCCAGCACCTAGAAGAACCTCTAGACTTCGGTATTGACGTGTTTGGATGTTTTCTGTGTAGTGATTATCCTATGAAAAAATAAATACAACTATAATACATTTTATCTTAAAAAATTATGAATATTTTGCTATGCAATTATATATGTATGATATTCTCAAGCTCAGAAATATATATATATAAATTACAACATCGAGTATTCAATATGACAATTTAGGTATTATACACTCGATATTATTAGTTAAAACACTAATTTACTGTGAAGATAATATTATTGTTTAAGAGGACGACGCATCCGCACGTGTTAGTTTCTTCTTACAATTTTCATACAACGTAGCAAATTCTCACTTAGCAGAATCCATTTTATGTTGTTAGCTTAATATTAGAGTAAATTTACCTGTTATCAAACTTAAAGATAAGAATTTTATCTAAGCTATCTCATAGGCTTTGATTAATATTTTAATTTTAAACTGAATTACAGCCTTGTAAAATATTAAAACTTTAAAATTTTCATAATTCACTTTAAAATTATATTATTAATAAAAGCGTATGTAGCCTAGATAAAATACTTAGGTACTTTTAAGTTTGATAATAGGTAAATTTACTTTAATATTAAAGCTAACAACCTAAAATGGATTCTGTTGAACGAAAAATTATTATGTTGTACGTATGTATAAGACGGAGGTAACACATACTGGCGTCCTCTTAATGATGCAAATATCATCACGCTATTAATAGTTGAGATATAATATATAATCATTACCTCCCAACAAGCGTTACCGAGATCAGCTATTTTAATATTAACACTTCCCAAATCATCCAACAATTCATACAATCTTTTGAATTTACTAATTTTTCTAAAATAACAATTTGATTCGGCATAACTCTCTAGATAAAACATAATATAATGTAATAATATTTGTAAAACAAATAGAATAATAATATTATAGTTATTAAGTAGATGCTTTAATTCACAATAATTTGTAACTCGTTCTGAAATATGTAAATATTTTGTCCAGATTTTTGTTAAAAAATTCAGTCATTATAATATTACCTATTTGTACGCACGCGCGCGAACATTTGTACGGGAACAACAGTTGTATTAGGTAATAAATAATTTTTATCAAGAATTAATTCACACAATTTCTTGACTCAAAAACACTAATTTCATAATTACTGCTCATATAATACGATAACTCATATTTTATATACTAACCGCTTTCCATATCCAACGATTGTTCCGATCGAATTCCGTTTAATCGATAATTACCCTGTAATCTTTCATCAGCGTTATTTTTTCCACATTTTCTGTTACCTATACGAGTAAAATATAGTTACAACAATAATTTTACATAAAAACCGATTTTTAACTCATAAATAATGTTGATGTATTCAACTAAAATGATAAATTAATGTCTCATAAGTCATATAGGTACATGCATATGTCAATGTATATGGTAGTATACATTTTTACATAACAGTATCTACTAATAAACTAATATACGATTATAGTAGTTATATACTGTCGTAGATACCTACACTCCTCAGTCTTTACTATAAATTATAATCATATGGCAGTGGATATTTTTTGCAATTATCACTGGGTGACATTAAAAAAAAAAATTGCACACATCATAATCTAAATCAATATATGCGCCTAAAAAATACTTTTCAGAATTAAATATACAAAATCTTACTTATATCTAACAACACCATTAAAACTCACAATACATAAACAAGTACAAATAATTTATGTGTTAAACTTACTCTTTTAAGTTAAAAAAAAGAATCAATAATATACAGTACCTATATATTTTGTTATAAAAGTATAAAAAACAACATATTAAAGTAAATATAAGAACTAGCTTGTAGAAACTAGGACCAAAATAAAATCGAAAATAATTTTTAGATATTTATTGGAACGATTGATGACCAGATGAAACATGTCACATTGTCGCATAAAATAAATTGCTTCTTGCATACCGTATTATTCTATAAGTACCTAAGGAGATCGGTCACACGGGTTTTCCATTGTAGAAAATTTCAATAATTATTTGTACTCCCAAATTCAAATGATCGAACGATATAATATAGATATAAATAAATAACAAAATAAAATATAAGAAATAATTGTATAATAGTTTTAAACATTGTTATTTTTACAAATAATCGTTGTCGCCCAGTAATTAATTATATATTATGGTCTATTAGGCGACATTTTTGTCGTCCAGTATATTAGTTAAAATATCCACTGTCATATGGTGGAAATCAAATCAAATATTAATTTATATAGTCTACCGAATAATATTTAATGACTTACAAGTTGAAATGTGTATTCAAGTATGAGCATATATTTCACAAGGACTAGAGAGATTATTTAATTACAAGTAAATATCTGAATAGATATAACTCTGATCAAAATCAGGTGTCAGATTTACATCAGAATGAAAAATAATTTGTTAATATTTTTGAAAATATTAAATTTACAGATATGTAATATAATTGCTTACATTTATTGCTTGGATAATATATCTAACATTTACTTAAGTAAAAGTCAATTCCCGGGTATACTATTTTTTTCGCATTACAATACATTTATTTAGGTTAAAAATGGGCTTGTCGTAAATGTCTCCAATTTTTCACAATTATTTTCGGTAATTTTCCCTTCATTTATCGGAAATGGAGTAAATCAAAAATTATAATTTTCTCTCTAGTGAAACTTTTAAAGTAAGTGCTTCGGTCGAAAACATCAACAACACAAAAAACAATATAATTAAACTAATAAACTGAAAATTTATTTTTATCTGTATAATTGTTGGTTTTTAAATACTAAATAGGTACCTAATGTTTTTCTTTGTTTATTTTGAATTGGTTTACATTTTGGTTTGTTGGCTCTTCAATAAATCCTATTTAGGATATTTCGAATTGTCTGTCACTTGGCCTAATATATATTATGTTCTAAGAATTGTTAGTGAAAAATGTATTGTACTGCAAATCGATCGTTGTTAAATAGAACTGTCACTGTCCATTAGCGTTCGTGTCCCAGATTTGTAAATAATACTATTCGAATTCAGAATAAATACCAAATAATTTTATTTCTTGTACATATTATTTGAATAATATATTGGAAACATAAAATGGAATTCAAATACTTTTACTTGAAGTTCAAATTAAATAAAACTTAACGTGTAATGAACACTCCATAAATTCTATATATATAGTGACATATTATACAGTATATTTTGTGGACATATTGGCACATATTATTATATTATATGTATGGGTATCCTTACGTAAGCTCAGTACAGACATCTGTTTGCAACTGTTTTCGGCTGTTAGCTTTATGTATTGGTGTTGTGCACAAATCAATATATTCTCAGGCTTGATATCTGTGTGAATTATGTGACAAGTCTCGTGAAGGTATTTTAGCCCTTGCAGCACCTAGATATAAATACACCCAACAATCGGTATTATGTATAAAGGTGTATACAGTAAATGATACTTGTATAATGCACGCAGTTCGAATTTATTCTACTGCGAACATGTTCACTCAGCTGAATTTTAAACTCACTTGTCTGATGATATGTTTTACCAAATACAACGGTATCCCTTGGTAGTTGGTTCTTTTGATGAGTTTAAGTAGATTGGGTCCTAATGCCTCGAATACCATGACTACGTGCATACCCCGCAAACCGTCTATTCGGAAATCATCGAACAACTGAATGATTTTTGTACGATTTGTATCCAAATCTCGATGGCGATAAATCTGAATGGTAAAATTTTAATATTATATTATGATAATATATTATTCTTTCCGTGCATACATAAGTGTTAATAATAAGATAACCAATAAGCTGATTTAAAATTTTGACACTGTATAGTGTATGTTAATGTAATAATGCGTATATCGTATGTGGTATATAATATATTAATATGTACGAGATGTGTCATTATATCTGTGAGACGGTGACATACTTACGCTTTTTAACATTCGAATTTCATCCAACGCACTTTCTGTGTAATCAACTGCAGATTTCACAACCTTAAGAGCTGAAAAGTTATGTGCCCTATAAAACAACAAAAATACAAACTTCGAAAATTAAATTGTTTAGATTTTTTTATGACCTACTTTTAAGAAATAACTATAACGTTAAATATCTAACTTATGATGTAATAATAATAATAATAATGTATTTTTGTATATAAAATTAAATTATTCTATAAAAAGCTTATTTAAATTATATTTTCATATTTTCCAGCATTTATTTTCAAACTTTATTATTGCCATATAATTAATATATATCATATATCTGTAAAAGTTTGTGTTATGTTGTTAACAATGTATACACTAGTCTAAATAATTTTGAGTAAAACATGAATGATATTATATTTGCTCCTATTCTTTTATTTTAAAGGGGGAGATAAATTGGCCAATTTTGATAACGTTTAATGTTCTTTTTTGATACTGAAAAGTAATTTGAGGGATTACAGGGGGCATTTTGTGACTGTAGAAGTGTTAAATAACATAATAACTTTCCGGAATATCCGAGAGCAATTCAAATAAAATAAAATTTAGGTAACTTCCTGCTTTTGAAAACCAATTAGAATGCATGTAAATAAGCCTTACCGATAAAATATTCAATCTAGAGTAGAAATGTAATTTTTAAATTTAATAAAAAGTTCATTATTTTTTTCGTCCTTATTTGTCAAAGTTAGGTAGTATTTTTGTTTTCGCTATTATGTCGTCTAATGCTGATTTAGCATAATTCAAAGATCCAGACCAGGACCCCCCATGGATATGCCCCTTTCTGATGAAATATTTAAAATTATTAAAAATGGCGCTTTAAAAATATTTTAAAACATGAAATTATATGAAAAAAATTTACCATCACTCTCTTTCCAACTCAAATTAAAAAATAATATTATCTTCCTTGAAAATATTTCTTTTTTTTCTTATCAATTAATTCAGGTATGTAACTTTTTAGAACTGTAATTGCAGATCAATTTTTTTATTATAAGTTTATGAATTAAATTAATTCACGAAGATAGAACACAAACGCATCGAACATCACGACTGAGAATCAACTTATATAAAACTTTATTAACGATGGCGTTGGTATTGGTATTCCAACAAATCTCTTATAGTTTCTTTTCCTACAGCATTATTATTTATTACATTTTTCATAGAACGTTTGGAATATTTTTATTTTCTACTGCCAGCAACGACCGACGAAACAAACAACAAAGTATAGGAGTATTAGGTAATATAAAACAAATATAAAATTGTGTTGTAAACACATATATTACATAGAAAACTGGATATTTGTTAGTGGTTACTGTCATTTTCAAAGTATAAAAAGATAAAGAAATAGTAATTAGTAAAAATACAGTAAAACAGTACAAAAATGCAAATGTTGGAAGTCCGAGGCTCTGATGGTTACGAGTATTTCATAATAAAAACTATTTTGGATAAAATATCCCCGGGGTATAACAAGCAAGGATAAAGCTTTGTGGTACATTTTTTTGAATTAATATAATAATATCATTAGAAACATTTTAAATAGGTTTTACAATTAAAATAATTTTACTCATACTTGTATTTTAGTTTATACATATTTTTTTTAATACCTATCTATTAAATTAACATAATTTTCAATATTTTGTAGTTATAACGTTTTTCTTTAGAGTTTTATGATGTTCTTATAATTGTTTAAATGTAACAAAATTATTGAATTTTGTAAAAATAACATTTTAATTGATAGATATTATTCATTACATAAATTATTTCTCATACAATACTAATCATTTTTTTAACCAGGTACTTGAATACTTTTGTATACTTCTTTTTGAAATGTGTTTGAGGGGTTTGATATGTCAAAGCCCCCTCCCCTTATTTGTATCTATGCAACTGATGGATTTTCGTATAGGTAATAAATCATTGCATATCATGAATACGCCTTTGAAGCCGCGATGACTGCGCGCGTTATTCGAGTAATACATTATTACTCACACGTCGTCCCAAGAGAGCCAAACGGTAGAGAAATGACCCCAACCTAGTTTCTTTATTATGTGATAACGGTCGTTGATGACGGATCCCACTCGGACTGGGAAATAGGAATTCTCTTTATAGTCCAACGGCTCGTCCAGGTCCGAGTCTGATGATTTTAATAAGTCTTCAGGGTTGTTGTCGGCGACGCTTTTGAACAATTCTGATTCATGTGGTTCAGACCTGTAAACAGTTTGACCAGTTACAGTTGTATAAATAATTTAGTATAACTTTTAAATAAGGCGTGTTTATTAGATTAATATATATGTAGGTATAAATATATAATGCATTTTTTCGTTAGTAAATTATATTGGGACGAGAGAAATTATATTTGATTTAATATGGTTTCTTAAATGTATCTTGTATATTTCTATACATATAATAAGTATTATAAATAATCTTTGGTATGTAATATAATAAAGGTATCTTCTGGTTTTTTACGATCTGGAACAGTGGTAGTTTAAATGGGGGGAGGGTGGAGTGAAGGGATAGATGACTCCATGATCATTTTTTCAATATTTATAACAATTTAAAATTATGTCTGTGTATGACTAAATTCTTAATTCTTATACACTGTGTCACTGTGTATAGTATATTATCTATACTCATCTAGGAAATAAGCTATTATTATTATTATTATTATTAATATTTAGTTGTTTATGTAAAATATACGGGAATACCCAGCATGACGATCGAGAATATTCAATAACAACACCTTCATCATATGCCCGGGGCATCAGTCGATATGTATTACACTATAATAGTATTAGGTAGCCCCAGGTCATTAGTTGATCGAAACATTAATTGTTACTTATCATAATATTAATTATTTAGTTAATAGTGTTAACACCGTGTTTCGTCTTCCGTACTCGTTTTTTGTATTATGTTGTACATTTTTATTAAACTGTCGGTTTCTATTAGTCTATTGTAATATTCACTATTTTACATTTTTACTATTATATAATGTCTAATAAAAGGAAAATTACTAGCTATTTTGATGCAAGTTGCTTTACTTTTAAACACTCGGCGGATGAAAAAATTAGTAATTTTACTAAGCCCATTACAGAAATCAAGTTGTGAACTAAGTGGTAATATTTTTTTTGATAAAGTTAATGTAAAATGTTTTATTCAAGAGGAAAATGGGAATAATAATTAAAATTATTGTATTAGGCTATGAGAATGGTTATGAAAGTAAATGTAAAATAAAATAGAGGGAGCGGAAGACCGACGAAGTGATGGATTAACAGAATAGATAATAGGTAATAGGAATAAAGGTAAACTAGGAAACAGAGCCATAAGGAGATATAAGACAAAGATGACAAACAGTACCATTTATAGTTGTGTGCAAATTTGAAGAACCTATAAAATATAATATAGCTTCTTTAGCTATTTATTTATAGGTTTATACAGCGCATTCCTATATAAATTCATATATTTGGTTGGATTTAAAGCATTTCACAAACATAATTACTGACTTAGAATACATTAGTTTTGTAAAACAATGTAAAAATTATTTCCATACTAATAATATGTGCAGGGCATATAAAACACTACGTTAAATCGAGACTTAAGGACTTGTTTTGGATATTCTAGATAACTGCGAATCAGAAACCAGCTACCTACTTTGATTATTCATAGACGATATCCATTATTTTAAAGTAAATATTATACAATTTTATTAAATGGCCTATATTGTCACTTATTTCAATTTAATTGAAAAGTATCATATATTTAATTTTAAATATTTCTTTAAACAAGAAATATTAGTAGACTTTTATTATACCTGAAATAAAGTCAATTTAATTTTAAAATTATATAATTAAAATTATAATATTTTAGATGAGGTGTAGGTATAGCAAAAATTATTTTGAAATAATGTGTCTCATAATGTCTTAGCTTTAATTAAATGTACACAATATATAATTAACATATCAGATAGTTTAAAACTTTTTAATAACTAACAATTACTGAGAAATATAGATACAAATAAAACATCGCAATTTTTTTTTTTATTGAGTATAAACTTAAAAATAAATTATAAATTCTGTATTAAATTTTCAAACTGTTCTACTTAAAACAATAATGTTATCTCACATAAGTCAAAAAAACAAAAAACTGAAAAAATTTAAATGTTTATAAATGACACAAAAATATTTGTAGCCAAAATATTTTGTAATTGTATTGTGTCTAGAGAATGCAAATAGAAAACTTTTGAAGATTTTAAGTCTCCCGGTTTTTTTATTTTTAAATTATAATAAAAAAAAATTTTTTTATTTTGAATTTTTAAAATACCAACTAGTTATCCGGTTTTCTACTATAAATTACATTGAAATTTAAAGATTGAAACATTTTTTCTTTATTATAATAGTGTTTTTAGACATAAAAAAATACATTATTGTAAAATCAATATATTTTCGTCGCTCCGCTCAAAATCTAAAAAAATCATACATAATATTATACACGATTGATGAATATCGGAAGTACAAATAATATATTTTTTTAAATGAGATTTTTCAATATCTATGGTCTTTTATTGATATGTATTATATATATATTACATGGCGATAAATTGGTAAATAATTTATTTATTATAAATATATGTAAATTTAACAGTTTTCACCTTTTTTTGACTACTATTAGAAATTAAATTAAGGTTCTTTATAAGGTTTTTGGCAACCAAATCCTACATTTTTTCTAAATAAAAGTGTATACACAAACATGAAATATAACTCTGCGTTTTTATCATACATTATTCAGTTCTATAAATTTTAATAAATATGTTGTATTGCTTTAAAATAATATTACCTACTCAAATTATTATTGTGAAAATAAAAGTATATTATGTTATAATTATTAATGTGGATAACTAATAATACTGATAACATTGGTATAACCATACATTTTTATCATTATATTGTCGGTATTTAACATTAAAAGATTTATTTATTCAATTTTTTTTCTTAGTTAAATACTTTTGTCATTATAAATTTATAAATTTATAAAAAAATACTTATGTTAACTTTATTAGTTGATAATAAGATGTTATGTCTAACATATATTTGATTTTTTTAAATAGCCCAATACATGGAAAACCATCACAAGTTAACCATTACATAACGTTAGTTTAAAATTTATTTGTATAATATAAGGGAAAGAGAATTATAATTATCAATAGTTTTAAGTGGTATGGAGGAGTATATATTAAGGTAACAGAATCTTCGCAATCCTTTATGACAAATTGATTGTTTGTCAAATAGCTGTCACTCGCATAGAATTTTATTATTAAATTGCGGCTATACTCTATAGTTAGTCTATATATATTACCTAGTCATATTACATAATATACATAATATATTCCCGTAAACTAAATTATATTACAATATCCACTCTTTGTCAAAGTTTAAAAGTTCAATATTAATTGAATACTTGATGGAAATTAATAATTAAGCAATTAAAAATTGTAAATTTTAATTGAAAATTAAAATTAAAATTAAACCTTGCACATTACTAATCAAATTAAAATTGTTTTTTATAAGTTATGGTAAATGAAAGATACTATGTTATATTATATTATTAATTGAGTTCAATAATGCAATAATCAATTTTTAAAATTGATTCAAATTATAATGGGTACAAAAATTGAAATGATAATGAACTAATGACTGACACATCACACATAACAATACATTTCATAAAATTTTAGTAAAGTTGTTAATTTACTCTGATTTAATAGTACTTAATTTCTTACATTGTATTATCATACAACTATACAAGTCAATTTCAGACTTCTAAACGCCTAAGATTGCACTTTTGTGATTTTAGTTTTTAAGGTGTTTATTACTGTAACAAACCAATTGAGTTTGACAAATCTTATTGGTATAGATGCATAATAATAAATCAAACTAATAAACTCATTAAAAAATCGAAAATAGATAGATTATGAAGACGGTTCAACTTTTGTCGGTTATAAAAATATTTGTTCTATTCATAACGTTCAATTTTTGTTTAGGTTCAATAATCAACTTAGGAATGGTAAATATTAGTTAATAAAATTATTTAAAAGTCACAAATTCCCAATTTCCAAAAACTTATTAAAAACTATTGAAACATTTTCAAACGTACGACTAAATAAAATAAATAAATAATTATACATTGATTATTTTATTGTAAATATTCTAAAAATTATCGTGATGAATAGACCCATTAATGTGATGTAATATTTAAGTATAATAAACTTTTATTAGTAACTACATAAATATAATATGATACAAGATTAGTAATATTTAAAAATTTTATAAAATGATAAAATGTTCATAGAAAAATGTTGGTATGTTAAGTAATATCTATGATTCAGTTATTTTTTATACTTAACATTCAAAGAATAATAAGTATTTAGACATTATTCTCCAGATGGTTAAATATAACAATAATCAATACTTACTTAAGATTAAAAATTGATTTCCTAAGTTTTCATTATATCGAGTATAAAACAATTTAAATAGATCCTAAATAATGTTTACTATTTTGACACACACGTTCGAAAATTGACCTATTATAAAATGTGAGTTTCAGGCTGAGTATTCATGCCAATAACTGTGTTTAAAATACTATACTAATGTATTATTTGGAACAACAATAATCAACTTTAGGTTAGATGATTTTTACTATTAAAAAGGTATAATTATGGTCTACAATACAAATAACTTATTAACATAATATTAAGTAATTACTTTTTTAGTTATTTTACAGTTTTGATTATTTTTTCTACAAAATAACATAATTATAAAAAAAATCAGTTTTATTATAATTTATCATAGTATGCATACATGCTATTTATAGGTAATATATGTATAATATTGACTGCGTTCTAAAAGCATTTGATCAATTATTCTCAAGGACTTCTGTAAATGTTTCAATGGAATGTCCAAGTAAAAGCTTCACGATGTATACCATAACCTTTTCGTATTTAAATGCATATTAAATTTATAGTAGAATAAGTAGCTAATTCCGTTTGTAAATATAACTAAAAATAATATTTTTGTGGTGATAAAAATAGGTTAAAAGTACGAGTATGTACTTATTTTTGCGCAAATTATAATAATTATTTCATATCATACCTACGACACATACCCAACAGTATTTATGGAATTGTACTATAATAATTTTAGTAAAACTATTATTATTTTTTATTTGTATTGTATAAATTAAGTGGCAAATAATAACAATATGATATAAACTATAAATAACGACGTCTATGTCTTAGGTCTTGACCCAATATTTAATTTTTGGATTTTTTTTAGGACGTTTTTATATACGTTTTGATACTCAATGTATTATCTATATATACTGTATTTCAACTTTTAAAATTGTATCGAAATATAGAATAAAATTAATAGGTATAATACAATTCAAACACCAATACGAGTATGTAATAATATACGCTTTAATATGGCTTAAGTGTATCAATTTCATTGTACTATCCTATCGAATTATTACAATAGTGTTTTCTTTTTTTAGATTATTAGAAAAATGTACTTTATTTAAAATTTGTTGTGTTTGAAATTTTAGTATCATATAATTAGACGATAACTATTTACTACACTAAACAATATTTTTTGTATAGAATCACATTAATTATTGTATAATATGTGTTATGTATATAATATGTAAATATATGTGTTTAAAAATTACAAATACCATTAACGAAATATTAGATAATTGGTGTTTATGACATTTTTCATATAGTCGGATATTGTAAAACGTTTTATTTTAATTAAATTGTATCGTGAACTATGTGGGTAAACTAGATTTTGTAAAAACAATTGCATTACGATTTAATTTGCTAAAATCGTACTAGAGTAGTTATTTTTTTGAAAAGTTCGATTGAGTACTCAGTTATCTTAAAATTTAGATTAAGTGAAATTGTTTGGATTTAACAACTTTCGATAGAATATTAATAGAGCCCGTAAGTATTTTGACACAGTTACTTTTCTCCTCAACAATACAACGCTCGGATTGTTAATTAGTTAAAAGGATATTTTTTCATTCAATTCTCATCGATGGAAATGGTCCAGGAAATTTTCTGGACTAGAAACAAGTTTATTTCAACAAAAATGATCTAGCCGAATGCTGAAGCATCTTATATCACGTTGTATCAGTGCCACAGACCATAGGATCTTTGAGAGGGGCACTCACTTTACGTTATAAAATATTAATTTGTTGTTATTGCTTGCTTTTTTTTTTCTCTAAAATACGCTTTATAATTTTTATTTAATAAATTGTGTTTAAAAAATTTCAATCGTTATAAATTATAATGACTTACGAAAAATGATAAAATAACGGTAAAATCGAGATTGTAATTTACACATTGTATCCAAACAGCCTATTTAGTCCGACACTTTTACACGAATAGAATGTACGTAGTTTTTAAGGATTTTGTAAAATATAAACGGAACATCTATTGTATTATGACTATTATGTAATTATGAATTAAATGGTTCTTATATAACAATATATAATTATGTCACATAAACATACCATGTATAGATACAATTTACACACTAGGTACACGAACCTCTGTATTATGTACTTTTTAAAACATATGTATGAGGCAAGTACATATTATTTATATTGCCTATTATATTAGAAAAAGCAATAAGCAATTGTCTTTAAAAAAAAAAAAAAAAAGAAAATAATGAGATGCGCATTATTTTAACGTTATAGGTAACTGTCTGAGAGAAAACGGGGTAACAAATGCGCATTAAAATAAACGCGTACGGATATTAAATGTAAATTATTGACGTGCAGTTTAAATCTCCCAGGTTAACCACAACGCCATTAAAACGAATACATTCGCGCAGCACGCCAATTCATAATTTCTACATTGCGGTTAACCACGCCTGACACCTATGTCATGTCAGTGAAGTCCGTTAGTAGGCAGGCAGCATATGGTCGGCGTATGCAGAGCTCGAGTTGGCGGAGAAACGGTGACAATTTAGCGTACGACAGTCTTGCACACGACATCACAACGCGATACTATGATATTAAATTTTAAACGGTTGTTATTGCGGATTAGTAAAAAACATCCGGAAAACAGTTCCGAGGGGGGAGGAGGGAAGGGGGGGAGGTGGAACTGACTAACGGTCGTGCAGACGGCTGAATCCCGGTCTCGGAAAAGGGGCTGGCTGGCATTGGTCATTACCGCTGTAACAGTGGCGCGGCAGATCTGATCTTCCTGCGCCGGTAGTGCGCGTGATTGTCGGCGCCGATGATGTGCGACGGGTGGTCACCGCCGTGGCGCAGGCCGTCCGCGGAATCGGAGTCGCGACCGGTCACCGGTTCGGACAGCGGGCCGCCGGGATGGCGGTGGTACGCCTTACGCCTTCCGCCGCGGCAGGTGGCCGCGCGCACCAAGACGTGCACGCCGCAGCACGCGGACAACGCGTACACGACGGCCGTGAACGCGAGCAATTGGCACGCGCACATGGCGACATGAACGAGCACCGTGTCGGCCACGGCCGATGTCTGCGGCGGCGGCGGCGGCGGCGAGGGGCCACCGTCGTCAGAAGCGTACCACGCCACGGCAGCGGCCGCCGTAATGGCCACGGCAAACGTCGCGGCCGCCGCCGTCGTTGATCGCGACGACGACAACGACGACGACAGCGATGACGCTCTTATGGCTAGATCGACGGCGACGACGACGAGATAGTTTGTTAAGAGACGCACAGCGGCAGGTCGCCTGACGGACGCCTCCAAAAACCGGACATTTTAACGAGGGGGGACAAACGACGTAAACCGAACACTCGGAGACAGAATCTCGACGGCTTCGCTGTATTAAAAATGGTCACGCGTGTATCCGAGCACTGCGCGACGATATTTCAGTGTACAACGATGTATAGATACGCGCGTACGTATAACAACGACGGAGAGAACACGGTCAGTCGTGGGCAGCAGCAACGTTGACCGGCGTCGCCGCGTTTACGTGCGTGTGTGGCGACGGCGATAGGCGTCTGTCGCGCGCGCGCGTGTACGCGTACGTCGTGGACGGCGCTTTTTCGCGTACTGATCGTAAAACGACCGCCACCGCCGTAAAGTCGTGTGTGTGTGTGTTGGCACTCGCGTGTTTTGCCGGCAACGGCGGCGGCGGCGGCGCGGCGGCGGTGGCTACAATGCCAATACAATATATAGTTATAATAATATATATAATATTATTATTATTATCGTCTATTATGCGCGTACGCAAACATTGCTCGTTCGTCCGCCGTCAATGTCTGCCGCTGCCGCCGCCGCCGCCGCCGCTCGCGCCCGGCCCGGCGCCCACACGCGCTACCGTTATTTATTATCTATTTAAGACGGTGCGTCGCCCCTGCCACTGCCCGCCGGAGCGCGTGCCGTGTTACTCCATCGGTTTCCGCAAAGCCCGCCATACATTACGACGACAACGACACATACAACGACACCGCGACCGGCACGCGCGCACGTAGGATACGGCAGTACGGTACGACCGCACCGCCTCGCCGCCGACGGTAAATATTATTTTACGCCCGAAATGAGATATTATTGTGTACGGGTTTGCCGTGTCACGGGGGCCGAGGAGCGTGTCGAATGACATTTTCTTTTTTCTTTTTCTGGCCGTTGTTAATTTTATTACAACAGCCGTTTTCATTACGGAAAAAGGCTGCCGCCCGATCGAGTAAACAAAACGTGACGCCATCGCGCCGCCGAAACGGGGGAACAAAAAAAAAAAAACCGCCGTTTTCGAACACGTGAACGGACAGCGGCGGCGATGACACGACTTTTGGCGTGTAGACACAACGGGTGTTACGCGGTGGCAGCTAGGTATATCGATATACCTTTACACGACGTGTATTACAATACTCCGGTATTCTCTTATAGGTATATAATTGATCGACCGTCGGGGTTTTTGATTAAATTAATTGACCGTAGGTTTTCGATTAAATCACCGCTGGACGGTGTATATTCGGTTTAATTATGCGGCTGCATCTCATCATAATATACGCCATATCATTATGTATAACGTATAATAATAATAATAATAATAAATGCACGTAAGCCTCGCATGTCGCGTAAATTCGGTCTCGATTAAACATTTCCTCTTCCGGGTAAAATTCTGGTTGCTGATGATTGATGGTGTATCCTCCAACAAGAACGAATGACGCATTTATCGGGAAAATTGTTTTTTTTTTTCTTTTTCTTTTTCTTTTTTTTTTTTTAACCATAAAAATAATAAATTATGTTTATTCTGTGTTCGCGTTTGATTGCATTTGAACGGATGCTTGCGTTTTAATCGAAACTCGGGTTTCCAGCACCTAAGTCTGGACTTCAGAAAACGGCCACTGAACGCAGATGTGATAATAAACAGTAAGTACTCTAATGTTCATTCTTTTTAGCGCTATAATAACATTTTCCAACACTGTGTTTGTAATTCGTATGTAACTAACCGTACTATGTAGCCAACGTATATAAGTATATGTATAGCTAGCGCTGATGCCTAAGGGGTAGTGGTTATATTTTCAGTATTGTCGAATTACGATGTATAATTATTGTTTACTTCTTTTTCGTTTGTAATTTTATTTATGTACCATTAAAGAAAAAAAAAAATGAAATGTTCCATGAATAATTTATAATTGAATTCATACACAACAGTTTAATATAATTTGCTTATACATAAGCATTGAGTTGTAATATTCGGTTTATGGATAACCCTAAACCAGAATTAAAATTTATAGAGATATAGGTAATCACAGCTCATACGAATCTTATAAAAATTTACTCCGATTTCCCAACGAACAATATAAAGTTTGCCGTAAAAATTCCTGGAAAAAGGTACTAGATAATGGGCAATTTGAAATTTAGAACGTAATATATATGCAATTATATTCAGAAGATATACTAAATAATTGTTTAAAAATGTATTATAAAGGCATTGTAATTTATAATATATACGTGGTATCCTAATTCGAGAGTGTGAAACAGTATATGCTTTACACTACGTACCTGGATTAAATTTTACATCACTAACAAGTAACAGGCAAAATTTCGTTGAGGTTCTTAATTCTGTTTAAGTTCGATACAACGATTCTTCCTGCAGTAGTGTTTCCCTGAATGATTTTTTTCCTTTTTGTTTTCGTTTATAATAGAAATACTATTATGTTACTTGTACAAACCTCTTCTTTCATAATGGTTTATATATTTACTTAGAGATTTATACCCCTATAGTTACTGTCAAACACTTAATCTGAGTTAGTTTTTTTCTTCCCTTAGGCTAATTGTTTTAATTTAAGGCTGCATCATGAAAAATCTCATGGTATAACTTTTTTTTTAAGTATTACGATCTTAAATGTTATCTTCCAATGTTTTGTTTATTATTCTCATTACTAATATATCTAAAAATTGTAAAATTGGCTGTTTAGGCGTTAATAAACAATTATTAATAACAATAATAATTCAGACGATTGTAAAATGTTTTACGCGAAAAAACTAAGTATTGTTAAGACGTGACTGTGAATACATAGTTAAAAATAATCTCCGCTTAAGGAAATGAAAGGGGCGTGTTCTTAGATAGGATAAATATTTTAAAAGGTACTTTTTCTAGTACCTAATTAATATAGTAATTGATAAAACTAATATAATAGCCACTTTATACGTGATAGTTTTAATTATTTTACTTGTGTTGTGTTTGCTGTTTGATACAGTTTAATATATTGTATAACATTTATATATATATATCCAAAATTAAAAATCGTGGTTTTACAATGACGGTTTTAAATAAAGCACATATACGCCATCAGTTTCCACAAAAAATATGATTTTTAATTTATTTATTTTTTGTTGCATATATTTACCTATATTTACAAACAGTCGTTTATACTTATATTTTAATTTTAATAATAAATATATATTTTAATTATTATAAAAGTTTTATTAATAACCTAATTTAAGGATACCTATTACGTATGATACAAATATATTATTATATTCTGCTTAATTATTTATTTATTTATACTTAATATTTATTTTTTTATTAAATCATATAATATTTCATCAATCTAATACAAGAAACAAAATATTATATGTAGGTATTAAGTTTTAGGAAGATTTTATTGAATAAAAATTGTTCATCATGTTTCGTTTGTGGGATATCTGTAGAAACAAAAATAGTTTTAATCTGGGTTGGAAGAAAATGGATTTATTCGTCAAATAAAGTAGAGTGTTTATGAAACTCTAAATTGAATTGATATCGATCTGGTAGAGGTATACTCAATTGATACAAAATAATGATGAAACAACTTTGTACAAATACAAAAAGACAGCTTTTATCTGTGGAAAGTATAAATATATTATTATTGAAAGTTTAAAATTTAAAATGATGACGATGTTAACAAAATCTAAAGAAAGATAAAATTCCATGATTATATACCTAATATATAATAACTTTGGATTTTCTAGTTTTTTCTGTAAAAATATCTCACTGTGGCGTACAGTTAAAACCTCGATATTTTTTAATACGAGTTATTAAGAGTACAAATTTTATGAAAAAACTGGATTATGTAGTCTTATGTTCATGAATTAAACAATTAGCAATTTTGCTATGATTTTATTTATTTTGTTGAAATGTACACATTGCATGAAGTAAAATACCTTGGGTCAAAACTTTTTTCATAAACTATGTAAAATTATTAATTCCATTATGGAACTATTATAGAATTTCATCCAAAGAAAATAAAAAATACTTTTTAAATATAATTTTAAAGTGTTAATGGTGTATTCTTGTAAATTATAGTATTTAGGCAACTATGTGCATCATCGAATATAACCAGTTAAAAGTTTAGAACTTAGTGTAGTAGTGTTGTAAATTTAAGATAAAGGTTACATTTTTGCGAAAAAATGATGAAAAACAGACAATTCAGTTAATTATGAGTTATGACTTTATTAGTTAACATTCAATCAAATATATTTGAGGTACAAATTATTTTTAGAGAACATAGTATTCCACCAAATTTTATTAATACTCGAAATTATAAGAAATATTTAACTGAACCGATTTACAAATATTAAAAGTTGTACTTATATTCTTTATAATAAGCACTATTGAATATATTAATTAAATAGTACAATATACAATATTATATTTTCTCGAATCTTGGTAATAGGTGTGTATATTGTATAAATATATATAATATAGTTTTATGTTCATAAAATATAACACCGTTTGTCAGTTAGCGATAGAAAACAGTATAGGTATAACATAAAATACGAATCTATTGTTATTTATAAACTATAAAGTTTTCACTTACCTACGTGTTTTAATAAAATTAATTAAAATTGTAACAGTTTTAAGTATTGTTACACAAAATAATCATTTCCCAGCTTAATATTCAAATGATACTTATTATTTTTCAAACCTAAGTATATATTATATTTTAGAATACTAATATACCAGAAAATATGATTTCAGGAGCAATTTAAGTCATACTATTTTATGTTCATTATTTATTTGAATAATTCATTTTAAATGTCTTGCTTCACATTTTTCTATTTTTTAGTTGTTTTGACAATATATTCATTTTCGTTAAAAATATTTCATTATATATTTAAGATTATGGGCGAAGTCATTAACATTAATTGTAGATGTTCTTACTGGTTTTATTATGATGTGCAAAATTTTCGATTTATTTAATTAGTTTTTAAAAGTGTTGATTAAATGTTTATGATTGAAAGCTTAAAATTGAATACAAGAATCTTCATAAATTTTATTTAGAATTTAAAAAACATTATGTAATGCGTCAAGTCAAAATAATAAATTAACTGAAAAATTTTACATTTACTTAAAAGTTGAAATTATTATTTTTTATTTACAATAATACATTTACACCAATTTTAAACTATTTGAAGACTTAAATTTTGAATTTTTTAAATTTTTTTTTAATAAGTTTTGATTCAATTTTTATGATCAAACAAAAAGCTTGAAAATTTAATACAATATTCTTAAAGCAATTTAAAAACATAGAGAATAATATGCAAAT